TTCACGCGAGCAGGCCAAAGTCCGATTTTTTTCGTTTTTTTTTTCGGATTCGTAATCTACATAACAAGAGGATCGTAAAAACGTAAAAATTACCTCCGATTTGTTGACGATTTGCACGGGCTTTGCAAAAGAAAATCGAAAGGGTAGAGAGAGTTTTTGAATTTTTTAGCTTTTGTTTTTTGAGAAATGGTAAAAAATGTGCCTGAATGTTTAATTTGTGCCTGCACAAATCATTTCAGTATTATGTATTACAACTTTTAAATAAGGTTCAAGATAATCTGATGTAAATTAGCAAGGCCAATCCCGCAATTTTGGTTTACCAGCTATTTTCCTTGATGCCAAACACTACCTTAATCTGGATTAAGTCTTTTTTTTTTTTTTTTTTTTGAGAAGTAATCTGGATTAAGTCACAATAACTTAAAAAGCACACGTGCCAAAACAACCATACAAACTGCTGAAGCATTCCTACATTCAACATTCACACCTCCAAACTCTCATCAGGGGGAAGGAAAAAAAACAAACACACTCCATGCAAAAATGTCAAAACTAACAGGAAAATCCCCTTTCTTCACCTTCCACAGCCGACACATGGATAAAGGTAAAAATTTGTTACGTACATTACGATCACATTTTTCGGTTTCCAATCCAGATTTCCGCTTTCTTTTTTTTCATGGTAGATCTTCAATCAATGAAGAAAGACTCTGTTTTTCTTTTCTTTCTTTTTTTTTTTAATTTGATCTTCGTACCACGACAGATTACATGAATAGCGGCAGCACAAAACCAACATGTACGCAGATCCTGGTAGCTTCTTCCATCGGATTAATCATAGCAGCCGCCATGCATTTTCGCCTCAAAAAGATACGGGATCAGAGAATTGTGCCCCGCATCAAAATTTCCGACACTGGCCAGGTTTTAAACATCGAAAAATTCTCTCACTACGTAGGTAATTTTCCCTCTCTCAGATCCAGATCATACTATACATATACATATATGTGAGTGTGTGTCTGTGTGTGTTCGTGCGTGTGTGTGTTTATAAGATCTGATGTGGTTTTCACAAAGCAATGTGGTGTGTGTTTATGAGTGTGTGAGCAGCTAGGCAGATGGGGTTCACAGATAGAAGAGAATGCCCACACCTTTGCAAACTGGCTTCTGAATACATCAGAAAATCCGAAGGATGTGAAGAAGATATGTACGCGTTTTTCGCAAGTGAACCGGATGTCGATTCCCTCTTCATTAAACTCGTCGAAGAGTTTGAGAGATGCATTCTCAGCTACTTTGCATTCCACTGGGCACATGCTTCCTATATGCTCAGCCAGGTATGCCTTTCTTTAAAGATCTCAAATCCCTCTATTTCGAAAATTGAATCCATCACATTTAATTTCCTACACCAGAAAAACAAAATTAATTCGACATATCTTCTATAAAACTCGTATAATTTCAGGTACTGGGTGCTGAAAACGAGGCGAAAAAGAAGCTTAAGCACATTGTCATGGCAGCCACAAGGTGGTATTAGATATGAAAATCTACATGTATTAACTAACAAGTTATAGCCAAATAAACCAATGAATTTACATTTCGTTTTTCGATATATAAACAGAGAACAGAGATTCGAGAGGGTGACAAAGAATCTGAAGGTGGCTAGAGTATTTACCACACTAGTGGAGGAGATGAAAGCAATCGGACTAGTATCTCTCGACGATTCACAGTGCACGAACGTGATGGTGCCGATGGCTCATAAAGACAGAAGCCCGGTGCTCCTCCTCATGGGTGGCGGCATGGGAGCCGGCAAGAGTACTGTGCTCAAAGACATTCTCAAAGAGTAAGCTAAAAAAAGAAATGTTAAATTTATCAACTCCAAATAAATAGAAAATAGAGATAGAATTATTACATTGTAGGATTAACCCGAATTTTGGAACAGACCATTCTGGGCTGGAGCATCTGGAAACGCAGTCGTAATAGAAGCAGATGCGTTCAAAGAATCTGACGTCATTTACAGAGCTCTAAGCTCTAGGGGCCACCACGACATGCTTCAAACTGCTGAACTGGTATTATATTTATTCATTGTCCAATAACTGCATAAACGATAAACCTCTGCATAAAAAATTGATCTCGTTCTTTTTTTTTTTTTTTTTGTGTGTGTGTGTGTATAGGTGCACCAATCGTCTACAGATGCAGCATCGTCACTCCTAGTGACAGCACTGAACGAAGGGAGGGATGTGATAATGGACGGGACCCTCTCGTGGGTCCCGTTTGTTGTCCAAACGATAAATATGGCAAGAAATGTCCACCGAAAAAGATACCGCATGGGGGCCGGTTACAAAGTGGACGATGCAGGAGTCGTCACTGAAAACTACTGGGAACAAATTGACGAGGAGCAAGAGCAGGACGGGACTAAGAAGCGAAGAGCTTACAGGATAGAGTTGGTCGGAGTTGTCTGTGATGCTTACTTAGCAGTAATCCGAGGAATAAGGTTCCTGCCAAAAAATAAAAAGAAAAAAAAAACATCATAGTACTACTAATTTTAAGGTTTAAAAACAATAATTAACGGATTAACTCTCGACTATCTTTGTATGGCACAGGAGAGCTATAATGTGTAGGCGAGCTGTAAGGGTGAACTCGCAGCTAAAATCACACAAGAGATTCGCAGATGCATTCACAACGTACTGCAACTTAGTAGACAATGCTAGACTTTACAGCACCAATGCATTGGAAGGCCCTCCTAAGGTATGTACACACAGTACTAACTTTTCTTCGTCTAAAAAATTTTAACTAATTTCGACATATATAAATAAAGAAATAAAGAAATAAAGAAAATGTGGGGGTTGTGAAGTTGATAGGATGGAAAGACAAGGACAAGACACTGTTGGTGGATCCAGACGAAATAAAGATACTGAAAGTGGTGGGGAGGTTGAACGAAGAAGCGGGTTCGATATTCGAGCTGTACAAGAGGCCGCATCCAGGTTTCGAAGCGGGGTCCGTTTGGAACGACATAGTTTTGTCGCCTTCGAGGTTGAACATTCAGAAAGAGCTCAAGTATTCCATTCAGAAAGTCGAGAGCTTCCGAGAATGAATCATCTTTGGTGTCACCGACACTATACATCATCTATTATGCCAGACACTCAAACTTTAGCAGCAAAATCCCATCATGGAGATTTTAGGCTACTAGTTTTTTTTCTCGTTTTTTTTTAATGTATCGATGTTTTTGCTTTGTCCCCCTTCAGCCAATGGATAATACTACATAGCAAAAAAAGATGAGCAATCCCCTCTCACATATATACTAAAAAGAACAATACAAGCATACGTCTTTCTCACGAAATTATGCATCATGATTATAACTCTCAACAAATTCAGCTGTTTACCTTTCTTTTTTATTGTATTCTCCATACTAGTCCCGGAAACAAGAAACAGAAAGACCTAGTGTTGCTAAATGCAAAGCCCAGGTTCGGAAACTGCCTTAATATTGAGATCGTGATGTTAAAATCTGCCTATTTTTATTTTTCAAGCCACTTAACAACCTGAAAAGTCATCGTATTCATCATTTACGGTACAACGAGAGAGGAAATAAATGTGCTACTCTATGTTGCAATTTTATCACAACATGACACAGTTGTGCAGAAAAAAATAGTTGTCAATTTGTGTTTCTCATTAGCAATAAAAGTTGTTGACAGAGAAAATTTAATGACAAGGTAGGGAGATGGCGGTAGGTGAAAAACAAGGTGAAAAGACGGCACGTGGTGAATATTAATGCCATTTTAGTGTTCGACATACGTAAGAACAAAATTAGCTTCAATGATAACAATTCTATGATATTTTTCTTTGAGAAATATTTTGGTGACGATAAAAGTATCACTCAATGAGCTTCTTAGATTTGTAGTTAAAAACTAAATCTTAACAGAGGTTTCTATAATAGGGTTTATACGTAATTAGACACACGGTGATGTGATTTACTCTATATTTGGTCAAGGGTAAAAATAAAATTTTCATTAAGTCAACGGTCAAATGAGTTGAAAACGGCAAGTGTTAGCAGAAAACCCGAGGGTCGATATGCATTGTTTCCAGTAAAATAAATTATCATAGAAAAGGAAATGCCCTAGGTTCGAGTACATAAATCAAGCTTCATGCAAGAATACATAATCGCCAATTTTTAGTCCTCCACATTAACACCAAATCATAACGACGTAGGGAAGGAGACAAAAGCCAAGTTTCCTCTACGTTTCGTAAGCAGTGACACGTGTATACTATAAACAGATACAACTAATGAAGCAGCTCCCAATACCAAGATTTCACGTATATCTTCCATGAATTAAATAAAGAAACGAAAGCCAAGCAATTTACCTTCACAAGCATTACTTTGTTTCTCTTCCGAAGTAAAGAAACATCACAGATTAGCCCAGCTGCATTCAAAATAACAGAAAATGAAGCACAAACGGCGGGTGTGATCAAACTTCAAGGGGGCAAAAAATAAAACACACATTTTTCAAGGGGGGCAAAAACAGAACCTAAATTTTTCCTAATCCCAAGAAGTTTGTAGCTTTTGCATGATACCAATTAAGGAAAAAAAAAGTTTACGAGGATTGAACACTAGAAAGATATGTAAATACCCTGCAAGTCGATAAATCATTTTCAACATACTGCGATTAAACTTTGTGATGAATTCAAATTTGCATTCAAGACGCCAAATATTAGTCCATCTTATTTACTAGGTAGTCAAGTAACTCAATAGTGTGTGTTCTGCAATAGATCACACACTATCTATAGAGAGGAGGAAACATACATAAAGTATAGAATTTAATCGTTCAATGTCATTATGCGATACAGCTACATACCAATTCCGAAACTATCTACAATAGTAAACCGGATATCAACAGCAGCAGTAAATTGTGATGCAAAATAATCGGAACTAACGCATCATCTTGGCTATGTTGTCATTAATCTTACCGGTATTATCGTTACATTTATGTCCTTAGCTGTATTTTAACGGTATTGTCGTTATTTTAATGCTTCCAGCTGTATTTTCGTTAGTCGACAGTTCATACATACTTCAGATTCTGTAAAAGCTGAAACTCTCACAAAACATTTGAAAGAGCATGATTACCTGACTGCCCTCAGAGTCTCCATATTGATAAATTCTTCAGTAAAGTCAGAGTGCCATTGCAATCTACAATGAAGAGAAGATGGTAAGCAGGGGTAAAATTGTCCAGAAAAAAATGGATTAGGGTTTACCCATAAGCTGAAGTACATTCTGACTTACGTACACAAATTGAATCTCATCTTTCAATCATCTTCCCATTTCACGCAAACAGTCGTCATGCTTTTAACGTGAAGGTGACTCATCCCCACAATTTTACGTGCGCCGAACAACACACTAACGTGCACCGCCTGCCATGGGTAAACCCTAGCCAGCTCATCAGCTGCTATGAAGTAAAATTAATCGTATATGCGAAATAATTTTGCGAATTGTGGGAGTAATTTGTATGAAAAACAGATGAATGAAGAAAACTCTACTGATCATTTTCCAAAAGATTTGATTTTTTTTGTTACAATCACTCATTTTTTCTTTTTTTTCAAATCCCTAAATCAAAAAAAGAAAATTAAAAGAAAAACCCAAGACTGTAAGAAAGGCTAAAATTGGGGAAAAAAGAAAGGAATCCGGTTCTATCATTGCTAATTACAATACTGTCCCTACAACATTATATTTCCCAAACTACCCCTCCGATCACGAACACTACTTTACTTCTTCCCCTTCTTCGCCGCAGCCTTCTTCGCCGGGGACTTGACAGCCTTTGACTTCACAGTCTTGGCAGGCGCCTTCTTCGCCGGCGTTACCTTCTTCGGTGTCGGAGATTTCTTCACAGGAGCAGCCGCCGCCTTCTTGCCCGGCGTTGACCTCGTTGACGTCCTTTGGGCCTTCGCCGGTGGTTTTTTCTCAACCAATGACTTCTCCGGCGCCTTCCTCTTTGGCGCAGCCTTCGCCTTCACAGGGGTCGCAGCCTTCGGCTTCGCAGCCGGCTTAGCTTTGGCTGCTGGCTTGGCCTTCGCAGCTGGCTTCGCCTTTGCAGCCGGCTTGGCCTTTACAACAGGTTTGGCCTTTGCAACTGGCTTGGCCTTTGCAACCGGCTTCGCCTTAGCCGCTGGCTTAGCTTTCGCAGCAACAGGAGATTTAGCCTTCGGCTTAGGTTTCGAAGGGGTAACCTTTTTCTCCTTCGAAGCGGCAGCTTTTGGCTTCGCTTTCGTCTTAGCAGCAGGAGCCGCCGCCTTCTTGGCCGGCGGCGCAGCAACAGCAGCCGATTTGGAAGAACGAAGCGGCGGGAGCTTGTACGAATTCTTCACCTTATTGAGCTTTCCATTAGCCACAAGCTTCTTCAATTGAACGAGCAAAAGCTTTCTGAAATTCGACGGCAGATTCTTATGCTTATCCTCAATCAACTTAGCAATCGCGTACTGACTCGATCCAGTCCTCTCCTTCAACTCCACGATCGCATCCTTAATCATCTGCATGATAAACAAAAATTCAGACACCATTTCAATACAATCAAAACCCAAACAAACGAGAATTGGTCGAATTATTACCTCAAAGTAAGGAGGGTGAGTGGCCGAGGAACGCTTCTTGGGGGCAGCGACTTTCTTCGCTTTGGTTTTGGCCGATTGCGGCGGAGGAATTTCTTCCTTAACAGCCTCCTCAACGGCGGGCTGCTCAGCCTCTGATTCGATGGGTAGCATTGGCTCGTCGGCGGTGGCCATTAGAGAATTCTCTTCAGAAAAAACTAGGGTTAGGGCTAGGGTTTCTAAATGGAGGAAATTGGACTACAGATCTGTGAACTGATGCTATAGATTCTAATTATCCCCTTGAGGGTTTGGTGTGTCTCTGGTGGAGAAAAATGGGCGGATTAAATAGTGAAAGGCAATGGGTTCATATCCAGAAGACGAAAGCTGATTGGTGGAAAGACGATTGTCGCGGATCGAGGCTATGTTGAAATTTTGAATTCCCACCGTCCGATGGGATTTAATCTACGGTGCGCTCAATTGATGAGTAGGACAGATTGTAAATGCTTGCAATGTTGGTTTATTTTGTGAACCCTAGAGTGTGTTTTTGCGCCTCATTGATTTGGGAATAACTTGAGCTACACTTTGTGGATTGAAGTGAGGTTTTCTTTGATTTGTAGGAAATTTCGTAAGCTTTCTGGATCATATTTACTCGAGTTTTAATACTGAGGGTTTTGGGAGATATTGCGTTCGGAATATAAAGTGGTCGAAGAACGAATAATCATGGAGTGTGGTGTGGTTTTCGAGCATTATGTGAAAATGCTCCGAACGGAACGCCGATTTCGGTGTTGCGTGATGTAATAGATTAATGTACGAGGCTGTAGAATCGAGAATCGTCGAAATCGGATAAGATTTGATCGGTGAAACATTGGTTTGAAGTGCATTGAAGATGAACACATCCATAGTACATGTTTTCAATGTAGTAGTAAGACCATGTAACACAAGTTCTTCAAAAAAATTAATCTAGTGACAAAAATGTTTTTATTATGTAATATTGTTTGTTTTGAGCTAATGTGGTCAAAAAACAAGTTGTTGCTTTTGTTGTTTGCATAAAATATATTGTAGGATTTTTTTTTTCGTACGTAAATATTTTTTACCTGCATGGCATCGTATATCGTAAAATAAAATTAGAAATCATTAATTCTCGACACGTGTTATGTTTCACTAACGCTTTAAATTATCTAACAACATATTATTTGTTTCCGTGATCTTCGGATTTGTCGAGTTCAACTTTTTTTTATATATATATGGAAACTCGTTGGGGTCTAATTTAGTACTAAACGTAAATGAACTTCAATTAATAAAATTTTAAACTTGAACTCATCGTGTTAAATTTTTTTTACATACTTATTTTACGTCTCGTCTTCAATTTTTGTCGTGTTGAGTAGGTCGTCCCAATACGACTTCATTAAAATTAAATAAATTTTGTAGTAAAATTGTGTTTATTACTAATGCCCATTTTGCTTGTGAATTAATGATCCATGAAACAATGGTAGACAATAATTAGTTGATAGATATTAGTTATTAATGGATCTTAATGTCTTATGTCTAAATATTATTTTGAACATACCATTGAAATAGATATATTGATTTAATTTTCTAATATATGTAATAAGAACTTGGTGAATAATAAATTAAAAGGTTAAGTATAACAAGTGCATCACTTGTTTACTTGATCTATTAGCTAATGACATCTATCAACACCAATTTTATTTGAACCATTATTACATAAACAACAACATTATTACACATTCATCAAAGTTTTGGACATATCATATTTGCTATAAAAAAAATGCAAAATAAATTCATATCATTTTGCATTTTAGATAATGAATTGAATGTTGGATGATAGATCAAGGTTTTTGTTTGGAATTAATAAATAATTTTATTTATATGTGAACTCTCTAGAATTCAAAAATCTAATTTCTCACAAATTTGAATAATTTTAATGTTTTAAAAAAATGTGAATGGATTAGATTTCGTATATTTCATACGTGGATCCATGTCAATTAAGTAAAAATATATTCATTTTTCTCTCTAATTACGTTCGAATTTCAAAATTAAATGGATATACTTGTAGCAACAAATTCTTATCTGCGAATTTAACAAACAAGAAAATACTTGCACAGAGATAATTTATTGAATTAAAATAAAATATTGCGGGTTACAAACTCTAATTTAATCCTCTGATTATTCTCTCAAGAAAAATATATGATTGATTATTCTCTCAAGAAAAATATATGACTTGATCTTCTCCGGATTTGATTTGGATTTGAATAACGTCTTCCGAGGGTCTTGCGACTTGAATCTCGGATCGAACGCTGAACTTTGACGGATTTTGACTTGAAGATCTTGGAATTCTTGATTTCTTGATGGATTTGGCCCTTCAATCTTCCTTCGATGTTAATAACGTTAATTCGAGGGTAACGCCTTGATTTGATGAAGAACACCTTCGATTTGATGAACTCCTTCGATTTGATGAAGAACGCCTTGAATTTGATGAAGAACGACTTGAATATTGTAGAGATAATTTTCTCCTACGGTTTTTATTCTTCTTGAGTTGTGTCTTGAATTGTGTAGGGAGGGTCCCTATTTATAGTGGTAGAATAAGAGTCCTACACAAAGTCTTCTTGATGACGTGGCGCGATTTGATTGGCTCTCTTTAAATTGATATTTATCTCTTATAACTTGGAAGAGAAGAAACAATCCTATTGGTCAATAATTAATTGATAATTATCTCCATGACTTATTTTGCAAGATAAATTATAATCTTGGGATTCAATTTAATATAATATAAATTATATTAAATTTACGTGTCTACAATACTTACCTAAAAAAAAAACAGATGTATGTAATTCACTTGTCTTGATTTGTTATTCAATTGATATTAGTAATAAATTCACAATCCGATTAAAATAATCGAACTATCATGTCAAATAATAATAATATCCCTAATTTGAGGATTGGGCCTTGGCTGGATAGCTCGATATAAAGAGGCCCAATCCCAAATATTAAATTCATGAAGTGACCGATTCAGACAACAATTCGAGTGGCCACCGTCACACATCTAACAACCACTGGCCCAATATTAGGAATGCGATCGAAAATATTGTACAACAATTGGGATCGGAAAGCCCATTTGTAAGCAAACAGAGCGAGCCCAACGGGCATCAAGAATGCACGAAGCTCACTGGAATACGGGAAACGGATCTAGCTCGTATGAGCACTAGCTTAACCATTCAACTTATAACTAGCACCTCAGCTCGCCAGGAGGGGTATAACCTCTAACTTTGAAGACACGTGCGCCCCGACAGTAATAAGTCTTAGTTTTATGGACATTTACTAGGCTTTTTTCGATAGGCTCTAATCATTTTAGGATTACCCTAACTTTATTAATATGATGTTTGAATTTTATTTGATAACAATTATAACTCAATTCGAATGTCGATCAAGAATCAAAATCTAGTAGATAGTTTTGTGGAAATGTTTCATCATTTTTACATCACGAGCTCAATCATAGATTAATAGTTAAATGAACAAAAATACGTATTCAATCTTGAGTTGTTATGTTAACAAACCGAGTTATTCGCAAACAATTTTGAATCAAATACTGCATAACTTGGTTTGATATTGACTTATACTAATAATAAAATTAAAAGTAAAATGTGAAAATATTATGATTGTAATAAAATTAAAAAAGATAATAAAAAATTATGTTAACTTGGATTTAATCATAACTTATTTTTCTAACAAATAAAACTACATATTCATATAAGGAATGGTTTAAATAACCGGGCACAATTAAACCTAAAATAAAAATAATTGGCTTTACAAAAATGAGTAGGGGTATAATTGGTGGAAAAATCTAATTGAGTGGGTAATTAAGGGTTTAGATAGTTTCAGGGTGTAAATGAAGGATAATGCACAAGTAGAGGGAGGTAAGTGAAATTAGCTATTATATTTAACCCTGAATGGAATTGTATATAGTCAACGAGCAGAAACGGATGAATCATTCGGAAAACGGCGCCGTGTTGCCAAAACCTCCCTGATAAAATTGCAGCAACGTCCGCGTAAATCTCCCAGAAGAAATTGAACCCGACGGCCGTGCATATCGATTTCGGGATCATGGTCTACATTGCATCTTGGGATGATTTTTTGGAAAAATCCGTCCAGCTGTTCCGCTCCGATCCTGAAAAGGTGAAATTCCCTAAATCCTGATTGCTTTGATTTTTTTATTTAATTTTTTTTTTGATTTTTCGTTGAATGTTGATTTACTTTGAGGATTCTGATGGGGTTCGTTTTATTGGGCGGCGCAGACTCGTTATTCCATGAAATACAGGCATTGCGACGGCAAATTGGTTCTAAAAGTCACCGATGATAAAGAGGTAAAGCTGCTGTAATTATGTTCCCATCTTTTGAAGTACACCGGAGTATGTATATATAAATATACATATGCTGGTTATGTGTGTGTTGTGTGTGTGTGTGTGTGTGTGTGTGTGTGTGTGTGTTTGGGTATAGATGTGTGTGGTTTGTGTCAGTTCCACTTCCACATATAAAAATTGCAATTGTCTTACCAATTTAGATGTTGTACAAATACAACGATTAACATCCGCCACACGGGTTGATTTTAAGGTGTCTTTGAATTTTGAAAATAGAAACATGAATAAGATACCTACAGATCATATATTATATGTGCCTAGTAGCCTATAGATGTTCGTGAATTTGACAGTAAGATATAAGATATTTGTCATTGATGATGCACCGTTGCTAATGTGAATGCATAAGAAAAGTACGACTTCAATCTTGCCATCACAATTCCATTGATCCTTTTAAAGCTTGGCTTGTAAGTCTTCAGTTACAGTAAGAACTGTATACTCGGGAAAGACCAAAAATATGTAATGTCTATTTCAAACTTAGTTTTTCTATGCAAGTGAATCTCTGGTAGTTGAATGTAGTAAGCATGTGTTGATACATGTCACTCATATTACGTATAGAAACTCTTAGTTTCATTTCATCCTCTACCTAAATCAAATAATAGAAACTTTTTGGTTTGGCTTGCCATTTGTATGACAATGAAAAGTGTTATATTGGACCAGACACAGTCAAATTCATCTCACCAACAAACTTGAAGTTCCTATGACAGGAATTACCATGTTTTTTTTTTGATCGGCAATATCCTTGGGATTTAAAAGTGGGTTCTCAGACGATGTTTTGCTTCCTCACAGAAATTATTGAAGTAAAGTTGCATATGCATTTTTGCATTATCCATTTTCTAGGAGATTCTGGCTCATTAAGCCTGGACTTCAATTTCATTTAGTTTAAGTATTCATGTCCTCGAATAGGGCACTTGCAATTTCAGTTTGTTGGCTTTATATATATATATAAGATTTCGGTAAGATGCTTTCGGTGAATATGTAAATTATCCAACAATGTTTGTTATGCTTCCTCATCTTGGCATTTCCTTTATTCTGCATTCTATTAACTGGTAGTAGAGATTGTTACTGCTTTACCGAGAATGCTTTCTTACTAGTAAATTTTTGTAGGTCTTTCCTTTCAAGTTTTTGTTCTGAGGGACAGTGTATACTGGCTAAGCTCGTGATTTTCACTTATAGGCACATGATCATTTCCACTACTTCTTTAGCCAATTAGCGTAACCATCTGGTATTAGGCCATGTTGATTATGATTTTCTGGGGTCACTAATTTATTGTTTTTAATAGGTCTTGGGTGTGTCGTAGGTTTGCCAAATCCCTTGATCATACAGTATATAGAAGTATCATGTAAGGTGAAAACTCTTCCTTCCTCAGTTTACTATCACGGTCATCGGTGAACCTTTCTGCAGCCTACTAGCATAACATTGCATCTCTGTGTTAGAAAATTTAGCTTGAAGGTCCTTGAGATGAACATATTTGTGCGTGATCCTGTAAAATGTTTCAATAGCTACTTAATGTTGGGAGCATATTGTCTTTCATGTTTTGCCGAAATTTGAAGATGATAACTTACTAAGTCAATGTAGTAGAAACTAGAAAGCTTAGTTGGGAACTATCTTCACTACCTGATGGTTTCTTCTTTCTTTTCAGTGTATCAAATTTAAGACAGACCAAGCACAGGATGCCAAGAAGATGGAGAAGTTCAATAATATCTTCTTTACTTTGATGGCTCGTGGACCCGAAGGTATTGTATTGTACTGTTTTCACTGATCAGGAAAGGGAAAAGTTTATTCTCTCTGCTTGAGATTAGTTTTCTTCATTGTACTCGATACCTCATTTTTATTGGCCGAATTTTAAATTGGGGGAATGTAGGTATTGGAAGATTGAGGTTCAGTTTATCATACATGTCCGTTTGCTATTACCTTAGGAGAATGGAATGTTAAATTATTTGTAAATATTTTGATTTTGGGTTAATGGTAATGAAAATCAAATTGGTAGGTCTTAGTAGCACATCATTCTTATTTCCTAGTGGCGACATACATTGCTAAATTCAGCTTGTGAATTCCGTTGATGTGATTTCTTTGGGACAAAATTGCAGACTTGTTATAATAACTAAGATTGGCGTGTATTTTATTTAATCCTGGCTAAATTACAGTTAGCACCAACTTATACCACAGCTACTTGATCTTCACATCATCGTGTTCCCGCTTTTGCCTTTTTTTTTTCATTTTTCTACAGATGAGTTTGCTTTTGAGCTTATTCTAACAAGGAAATTATTGTATGATTTTTTTTTTCTTCTGCAGCGGATATATCTGAAGTTGGTGGAAAAGAACAAGCAGAGGCACAGCCGGTCAAGAAAGGAAGGGGAAGGAAGCAATAGTTATATTTCTTCATCATCTTCAACAAGTTTCCGACAACACCAAAATAGTCGTGAGAAGAGTATTAAATGAAACATTGGTCTTAAATTTAGTTCAAACAAATTTTGGTTGAATCTTCTAGTGTTTTTGTAGCAAACGTAGCTTAAATTCCTTGATGCTAACTTCATCTGACTGGTATTTTCATTGAAGTAAAACTCTCCCCTTGCTTTCGCTGGTTATTTCGTCTTTGAAAACGATATGGATTCTGTATTTACTTGTCTTAGTTTTTGCCTGGATTTTTTAAAGATTATTGCACCAGTTTGGCCTGTGCTGATTATTGCTTCTAACAGGGATTATTCGTCATTATTATATCTTGGGAATAAATTTTGCTTAATCTAATTCTTCAACTTCACCATATCCTAATATTAATGAAAGATTAATGAAGTGGAAAATATAAGTTAAAAAGTCACTGTTCAATGCCAAAACCAGTATCCGAATTTAGTACAACAAACAGGGGATGCTGTCCACAAGTTCAATGGCCATGCTAGAGTCAGAAAACTCGAGAAAATTCACACTCCTCTCCTCTAAAACGTGTTTTTAGAAAATCCAATCCTTAAAACTCAATAAATTTGGTCAAAGAGTCTCGCATTGGGAAATAATCCTCTGCAACTCGTTCAGCAAACGCAGTCATCGAATTATCATTTTCTCCAGCACCACCACAACACGATTCAACTTCAACAGAAGCAGCAGATGAAAATACAGGCTGATGATGATTTGATTCATCGGCCAAGTAGTAGTGGAATCAGTCTGAATTTCGATAGCTCCACCTGCACGAAACGATGTCGTCAACAAGATCCTTTATATCTTCATTGAGTATGGGTGGGAGTATTGCTAATCGAAACGCAGATCAAATCTCTTATCACCACAAGAGAAAGTGTTCTAGAAGTGTGAAATGTGGAGATAGCAGTATATGCCATTGATCTAAGAAAAGGTCTTTATATTTTAGCTTTGTTTTAGTATTACAACACTCGAATATGTAATGGTTTTGCTATAAATTGTTTGTACTTTGTTTCGTAGGAAGAACAGGGTATCAAGATTCCTGCTACAAGTAACAAGTTAGCTGATATCCCACCCGATGAATATTCTTGGAGGAAATACGGTCAGAAGCCAATCAAAGGTTCTCCTCACCCAAGGGTATAGTAATTGCAATTTTATCTGTACGGTTAATATTTAATACAAGTTAGAGAAACTACGAAACGGGATTTTAATATGTGACGATCTCGTTGGTTTTGTGCAGGGGATACTATAATGAGAGGGTGTCCTTCGAGGAAACACGTGGTGAGATGCTCGGAAGATTCCTCGATGCTAATTGTCACTTATGAAGGTGAACAAAATCACCCTAAGTTACCTTCACAGTTAATTGACACGTGAATCTTATTGGTAATATTTGAGGTTTCGTGCTTGATATAAAAGCATTCCCTCGTAAACAAGTTAGCACTTTCGGGATTTGTACTTATTTATAATGTATCAGTCGAATTGATGGATTTACCAATTTGGGAAGAAAACCATCTAAGGAATCACTAGTGACCCTATTTCCGATAATCAAATCCGGATTTGATCATTATGTTTATATCTGTAATAGTGCGGATATTTTGCCCTTAGCCTATCGGTCGTATTGAGAAATGCTTTTCATCACCATATTTGCAGCAATAATTGTATATGTCTACAAATTCATGGTAAGTTTGTTCATCACCATTAGTTCTAGACTGACAACTGTATATTTCTACCATTGGATAATTAATTCTTATGGAAGTTGCGTATTCAGAATAAACAAAAAATTACGAAGACATTGAATTGATTTTAATGAAATCGTATCCAGACGATTATACAACACGGCAACAATTAAAGATGAGACGTAAAATAAGTATATATATTGTATGTATAAGTAACTGGATTTAATTCGGTGAGCTCATGTTTCAAGTCGTACAAATTGAAGTATATTTTCGTTTAATACAACATTAGATACGAACGGCTTTCCATATTCGAAAAGTAGTTGAACTTGTCAAATCAACAACTACGAGTAATCGCAATAAACAACATATTGTTAGATAATATCAACTCTTAGTGAAAGATAACACGTGTCAAAAATTACGATTTTTAATTTTAATTTACGTTACACGATGCCATGCAGAAAAAAAAATCGCGTTCGAGGAAACAATCCTACAATGTCTTTTATGCAAATAATAAAGGATCACAACAAACAATATTACACAATGATTTTTTGATTTTTCGCACGAGATTGATTTTTATGAAGAACTTGTGTTACATGGTCTTATTACTATTATGAATGTGTTCATCTTCAATGCACTTCAAACCAACATTTCCCCAATCAAATCTTCTCCGATTTCCACGATTCACGATTGTACAGTCTCGTACATTAATCTAGTACATCACACAACGTCAAAATCGGCATTCCGTTCCGAGCATTTTCACATAATGCTCGAAAACTACACCACACTCCATGATTATTCCTTCGTCGACCACTTTATATTACAAATTCAATATCTCCCAAACCCCTAAGTTTCAAAATTCAAGAAAATATGATCCAGAAAGCTTACGAAATTTCCTACAAAACTAAAAAAAATTCATTTCAATCCACAAAGTCTAGCTCAAGTTATTATCAAATTAATCAGGCGCAAAAACACACTTTTAGGTTCCCAAAACAAGCCAACATTTGCTAGGCATATCAATCCTACTCATCAGTTGAGGCGCACCGTAGATTAAATCCCATCCCACGGTCCAAATTCAAATTTTCAACATAGCCACGATCCGCGTCAAAAGTCTCTCAACCAATCAGCATTCGTCTTCTGGATATGAACCCTTGGTCTTTTCACTATTTAATCCGCCCTTTTATTCTCAACCATACTCATCCCCAAACCAACAAAGCATAATTAGAATCTATAGTATCAGTCCACAGATCTGCACTCCAATTTCCAAACCCTAGCCCTAACCCTAGTTTTCAGAAGAAGAATTCTCCATGGCCACCATCGAAGATCCAGTTCTACCCGTCGAGTCAGAGCTTGAGCCGCCGACCATCGAGGAGGCTGTTAACGAAGAAAACCCTACGCCCAAATCGAAGAAGGCCGCCGCTGAAAAGGTGCCCAAGGCGAAGAAAGTTGCTGCCCCTAGAAAGCGTGGCTCGGCCGCTCACCCTACTTACTTTGAGGTATTAAATTCGCCGATTCTCATTTTCTAGGTTTCGAATTTTTGTTTTGAAATGGCGTCTGATTTTGTTGTTTTTGTTTGTTTTGTTGTCGATGAAGATGATTAAGGATGCGATCGTGAAGCTGAGCGATCGGACTGGATCGAGTCAGTACGCGATTGCGAAGGTGATTGAGGATAAGCAGAAGAATCTGGCACCGAATTTTAAAAAGATTTTGCTCGTTCAATTGAAGAAGCTTGTTGCCAATGGAAAGCTCAACAAATTGAAGAATTCGTACAAGCTCCCACCGGTTCGTTCATCCAAACCGGCTGCCGCTTCTGCGCCGGCTAAGAAGAAGTCAGTTCCGGCTGCGAAGCCAAAAGCAAACCCTAAGACTGCCGCCGCTTCAAAGCCGAAGGCGAAGGCAAAGGCTAATTCTCCTGCTGTGAAGGCGAAGCCAGCTGTCAAGGCAGCCAAGCCTGCTGCAAAGGCGGCCAAGCCAGCTGCTAAAGCCAAGCCGGCTGCCAAAGCTAAGCCTGCTGCTAAACCGAAGGCTGTTGCTCCTGTGAAGGCGAAGGCTGCGCCAAAGAGGAAGGCTCCGGAGAAGTCAGTGGCTGAGAAGAAACCAGCGGCAAAGGCGCAAAGGACGTCGACGAGGTCAACTCCTAGCAAGAGGGCAGCGGCGGCTGCTGCAAAGAAAGCTCCGGTGCTGAAGAAGGCGACGCCGGTGAAGAAGGCTCCTTCCAGGACCGTCAAGTCGAAGACGGTGAAGTCTCCGGCGAAGAAGGGAAAGAAGTAAAAATTGTTGGAGGGGTAGTTTGGGAAATGTCATGTTGTTAGGGACAGTTATGTAATTAGTGAAGGGTCTTTGCACTTTTGATGTGTGTAGACTGTAGTTGCTTTTTGATGCCTATAGAGTATTATAGAATCGTATTCCTTTTTTGTCCCTATTTTGACCTTTTAATACAATCTTAGTTTTTTCTTATTCTCCTTTTAATTTTTTCTTTTTTGATTCAGTCAGCTATTTGAAATATTTTATTTATTGCATATTTTCAGAATATTGTTTTTGATCGTAGATATGCTACCAATTCGATAGAAATAGATTATAAATTTGATACATAGTAACCCTAAACAAATATTGATGATTTAATTATCGATATTTTTACTAAATGATGTATATTTCTTTCAAATTATTATTCTTTCAAACTTTATCTTATAAGTTTATAATTTAGTTGGCAATTTTTTTCTTCAAGTATACATATATATAATAAAATATATTACAACCACCTCCCTGAATGAAAATTTATTTACGAAAACCCCCCTTCTTTTTGTAAAGTTACATCTAGCCCCTGTAGTTTGTAAGTTTTCTACATCCGCCCCTACATAAGGGTGTTAATGTAAGAAATCTATAAATTTCAGGGGCGGGTGTAATTATGAAAAAATAAGGGATTTTTTCATAAATATATCCTTACCTCAAGGGGCGGTTTCCTATCTATTTTTGGACGATGAAACAGATGAAGCTCAAATTCAATAGGAGTGTTCAAAGGAAAAAGAAAACAAATAAGTTAAAAAGGAGCCGAGGGTTTTCTAAAGGTAATTGCTATTTGCGGTTTGAAAATTGCTATTTGCAGTTTATAAAAAAAAACACTTTTTTTTTCTAAAATCCAAAAACTTCTCAAAAAAATCCAAAACACTCCCAAAACGCGTAAAAGCCCAACTTGGGCGCCCATTCATGCAGTGCACGCTCAAGTTGGGCGTGCAAGCTGCATTTGGGCGCCTGAGTTGGGCGTCCAGTGCTTTTTTTTTTTTTTTTTAATTGAATGTTCAAGATGGGCGTTCCAACATTTTTTTGCTAAAAAAAAGCCCTACAAATCGATTTATAGGGCTTTTTAACATGAAATTGGTTCCGTAATCGACCTACCCAATGCATATTACACATAAAAGAGTCGAAATTACATCAAAAAATCGAAGCCCAACCCTTCTTCAAGCTAGATTTCGAATTTTCGAAATTTTTTTTTTGTTGCTATTTGCAATTTGGGGAGTTTTTGGATTTTTTTGGAAAGTTTTGGAGGTTTTTTTTATAAACCGCAAATAGCAATTTTGTGACCGTAAATAGCATTTCATTTTCTAAATGTTCACGTTGTATACATGGGCAAATCTCGCAAAAAAAAAAAAATCATTGCCTTTATAGCAAGACATTTGTAAGTTGTGGGTTTATTTGCAAAATATAGAAGTAGCATGCCCAATTTTTTAATTAAATGGATTTGTCATGCACTTTTTTATGCAAATTCCAACATGTCAAGAATGAGCTGTTGCAATTCGTTGACTGCTTGCTTCCGCTATATTGGACTTGTTTTACTCCTTGTATCCATCCCTCTTGTTCTTTGTTTAATTTTCCCACGCAATCATTTTCAGAAACCAGAAATCTGCATCAATGGCGATGGAAAATTCGGATACTGACAACCGTATCGACGATGAAGTAGCAGAAGAAAACGAAATAGCAGGTCCAAACGACGAGCACGAAGCTCGAGGCACCTGGAAACACGCCGCTTTCCACGTCGCCACTACAATCGCCACCCCCGCCGCTTACGCCCCGCTCCCTTTCGCCGTCGCCTCCCTCGGCTGGCCACTCGGTATGTAATCGCTCCGGCCGAATAATTAAATACTGTTTACGATTTACGAATAGCACTCCATTTCATAGATCTCTATCACATGATATTTCAAACTTCAAAATAATAAAACACAATTTTAAGTTTTAGGTTATTTTGTGACTAATAGTACCTGTTCTAGGGTTTCAGGGGTGATGAGTTTAGTTGGAGGGACTATTGCCACGTGGTATTCTAGTCTGCTGATTGCTTCTCTGTGGAGATGGGATGGGAAGAAGCACACTACTTACAGGCATCTTGCCAAAAGCATTTATGGTGTGTGTGTGTGTGTGTGTGTAGAATTGGGGTTACTCTGTTTTACTTGCAATCGAAAATTAATCGAAAATTGTTGTTTATTGGCTCTGTTATTTGATTATGAAGGATCATGGGGTTACTGGTCTATTGCATTTTTTCAGCAAGTGGCTTCATTGGGAAATAATATTGCTATCCAAATCGCAGCTGGGAGTAGCCTTAAGGTTGTTAATTAAATCGTGTCGATCGTTCGAAGTTTTTATTGAAACCATAAATCTAATTTAATCTATATATTATGTTTTTACATCCACAGGCAGTATACAAATACTACAATCCCGATGGCAGCTTGAGACTGCAGCATTTCATTGTATTTTTTGGTGCGTTTGAATTAGCTCTCTCTCAGTTCCCGGACATTCATTCACTGAGATGGATGAACGGTTTGTGCACTCTAAGCACAATCGGTTTTGCCGGCACAACTATTGGCGTAACAATATATAATGGTATGTCTTTTCAAGAAAACTCTTTCATCTGTTCTTCTTTGAGAAAAACGAGTTCTATCAAGTAGCTAAACGAGTTATTCTGGAATAAAAAAAATGTAGGGAAAAGAGAAGATCGAAAATCGATTACGTATAGTTTGCAAGGAAGTTCATCTGCTAAAGTATTTAAAGCCTTCAATGCTCTAGGTGCAATTGCCTTCTCATTTGGAGATGCAATGCTCCCAGAAATACAAGTAAAAATAACCGTCTTCTCGTTCTTGTTTTCTTTACGCGTTTATTACTCTTAATAACCGAGACTGAATGAACTGACAATTTTTGCTAGAGCACAGTGAGAAAACCTGTGAAAGGGAATATGTATAAAGGTGTATCAGCAGCATATTGTGTTATAGTTTCGACTTATTGGCAATTAGCCTTTTTGGGATATTGGGCGTTTGGTTCAGAAGTTGAGCCGTACGTTCTCTCTTCTCTAACGACACCTAAATGGACTATTATAATGGCTCATCTATTCGCTGTCATTCAAATATCGGGATGCTTTCAGGTAAATTTTTTGAGTAAGTTTTCGTACGTTATTGCAAACATTCATAATATTCTCGTGATATCATTACAACATTGTTTTTTTTGGGCGTCTAGATCTACTGCAGGCCAACATATGCGTATTTCGAACGAACAACGCAATATGGGAAGGCCAATAACAAGACTTTTAAAGATTATATATATCGTCTATTCTACACATCAATATACATTGGTTTAATAACACTAGTTGCCTCTGCAATGCCGTTCTTCGGTGACTTCGTTTCTATATGCGGAGCGATTGGTTTTACTCCGTTGGATTTCGTGTTTCCTGTTTTAGCTTATATTAAAGCCGGAAAATTGCCTAGGCGAAAAAAGCTTCGACTCCCATTGCTGCTACTCAACACTGCTATTGCTGTATGGTTTTCGATAGTTGCGGTGTTGGGCTGTGTAGGTGCAGTTAGATTTATTGTACTGGATATTAGGGCATACAAGTTCTTTCATGATCTGTGAGATACTCTGTGCTAAAACAAATCCAAGTTTATTTTGTAGCTGATATATGATTAATGTATGTTGAAATTAGTTTTTATTTATTTATAATAATTAAATAGTAATTATTTGAGATCTTATTATTGTTTTTGGCAAATAGAACAAAAGACACGCATGCTACATTTGTATAGTTATTGCTCCAAGGAATTGTATTCATAGGAAGGTAGAAAATATAAAATAAGACTTAATTTAATTGTTTTAATTCATATAATTAATGAAACAAATAATAAAATAATAATTTAAATTTGATACGACTAGAAATAAAGTGTTGATATTATGTATATTCTCATGTAATATACTCCCTCCGTTCCCTATTAAGTGTCGTTTTTTGCTTTGTACAAGTATTAAGAAGTTCAATAAATGTGTCTTGATTTTAGGTAAAATATATTAGAAAGACTAAAATAACCTTGATTATTTAATAATGTAAGAGGGAGTTAATACTTATAGTTGAATTAATAAGGTTAAAACAGGAAAAAATACATTTAATGCCATATTGGAAATCTAAAGTGACAGATAATATGGAACAAAAATATTTTTAAAAAGAGACAGTTATTGTGGAACAGAGGGAGTAATATTTATCATCAGAAAATAGATAATTTTTGTGTTTGAAATGATTTTTCAAAGTCGGATAAAATTTACAAACAGAATAATGGCATTGTTGGAAAGGATGAGAGAGCTTTGGGAAGAGCCGAAGTAATCATTTCTGAGGATACATGAAATGACATTTCACTGTCTCTAAAACCAAAAAAAAAAAAGAAAAAAAAGAAAAAAAGAAAAAAAAAGAATGTTAACAGTCAAATATGTCTCTATAACCAAAAATATGCATTGAACAAATATTACTACAAACATACACAGAGGCTTCAGTTTCCTGTGTGTGCAGTGCTAGCTTAAATCATGTATACTCCTGATGAGGATGGTCTGTATGAAACTTTTTTGCATGTTCTTTTCTTTTTTCAATATTCATGCACTTGTTTCTTTTTCTTGATGTTTATGTGATTGCAGATATTCTGATTCAGAAGGCTGCTGCTAGTGGAGACCTTGAACTTCTTCAGGGTTACTTTTTTCTTTAAAAAAATTTCCTGACATTTTTTCTATTTTTATTTTATTTTAGAAATTTCATTTTTTGTTATATTTATTTTTGACAGAATTGGAAGTGAAGTTGGGTGGCAATGAATTGGAAGAGCATTGTTTTTCATTACCAACACTTTTAATTAATTAAATCTTGGTATAAAAATTATAATACACACAACTGCTGCACTGCAGGTGATACTCCTCTGATACTTGCTCTTCAAAAGAGAAGATTCATCACATCAAAATATCTAATTAACCGAGGTGCTGATATCACCATTGCCGATCGTAAGGGGAAGACTTCGCTACATTACGCCGCCGAACAAGGTTTTGTCGTTCCGTCGGTTTTTTTTTTTTAATATGATTCTATTTTTATAAATGAAACAGATGTTTAATGTTTTTTTTTCTTCGGGGTTTTTAGATAACAAGGAGCTTATGCAAATGTTGTTATCGAAAGGTGCCGATATCGAGTCGAATTCTGTGAACGGAACACCGCTGCAATGTGCGGCAGCATCCGGAAATGTCGAATCTGTTCGTCTTCTCTTAGGTCATGGTGCAAATGTAGGCAGGCTAACAAACTTTGTTTTGATTTTTCGGTTTTATGTTTTTTATTGTAATTATTAATTAATTTATTTAAATTTCTTTTCGGCAGCCGAATCTAGTCTCTTCAATCTCTCCTTCCCCGCTTGTGAGTGCGATTATTTCTCAATCATATGAATGCTTCGAGCTGTTACTGAAGGTAATTTTGTTGTTTATGGTTTGATTCCTTTCGTTCAAAAGGTAAATTCAAATAATTGTTGTCGGAAATTGTCGTAAACGTGTTTTTGGCGACAGGCTGGAGCTGATCCGAACATTATCTCGTCTGGTTTACGTCCTTTGACTTGTGCAATTCCAATAGGCGAAGCCGGATTTCTCAAGTCTTTGCTTGCTGCCGGAGCTAATCCAAACCTAGTTACATCAGTTTCGTTTCTATTCTTTGTTTTATCTCTCTATCTATCCTGTTCATTGTCTGTACACTGTTCTATCGATTTATTTATTTGTTTTTTATTTTTTTAAATTCAGTTTTCAGATAATGATAACAACTCTCTGAAACCGATAGAGCAAGCTATCTCTGTGGGTAATCTTGATTTTGCTCGTATTTTATTTCCATTGACGGAGAGAATTCCGAGTTATCCCGATTGGAGCATCCATGGAATCGTAAACTACTTCCACACTGTAGAAGCTAATATGAAGGTCTCAACAACTCAACTTATCTTTCTTTTCTAACTAATATTTCATAATAATTCCATTATATATCTTCATATATCTTATCGCTAAATTTACGTTGATTTCGATCTCAATTTTATTAAAAGTGATACGGAATTTTACTTATTAGTCAATAGTATTTTGTTATCTCTCTGGATCGATAACTTATATGCTTTTTTTTTTTTATTTTTTTTTTTTTGGCAGAGAGAGCTAAGGAAGAATGCTTACTTTCGGTTCGTTGATCAGGAAGGCAAAAATGCTGTGAAGATAAAGGATTACGCTACTGCAGTAAAATGGTTCAGTGAGGTAATTTAAATCAGTCAAATCACAATTTTCATATACATTATACATATATATATAAAGGTTGAAATCACAATTTTCATATACATTATACATCTATATAATGTATATAAAGTTTATATACATAAAGTTTATGATTTTAACCAATCGAAAAATTTGGGTTGTTACGTGTTAGGCAATATATATTAAACCAGATGATGCAAAGGTGATATCAAATAGAAGCTTATGTTGGGCTAAATTGAACGAAGGCGCTTTCGCATTAGTTGACGCCGAGGCGTGCGTTGAACTGAGACCTGATTGGGCCAAGGCTCGCTACAGAGAAGGTGTTGCATGGATGCTACTCAAAGTAAAACCCAATACTTAATTATTTATTTATTTCGGTTCAAAATTTTGTTCGTTTATTGTAATTGCATGTTATTGGCCTCTAATTTTTTTTTTCGTTTTGGCGAAGTGTTATGTGATGGCGTGCGGGGCATTTCATCGGGCTAAAATGCTGGATCCAGGAAGCGAGGAAATTTGTAAGGCATTAAGGTGAGCACTGTCGTTTACCATCCGATTCTTTCTTGGACATACTTGTATATGAGATGAATTTTTTTTTTTGGGATTCGTGGCAGAGAAGCTGTTGACGCGATGCGCGACACGAATTCACGAAGTGACCGTTGGAGGCCTTGAACATTTTCCCTTTTGCTTTTTTGTTGTTGTGTGTTTTGTGTGGTTTTCCTTTTGTAATATAACGGTCGGAAAACGGACGGTGTAGAAATATTTTTGTAGCTTCTTTTGGAGCTGCACTGGATAAAATAGTGCAGGCTTATAAGATTGCAGTAGTTGTATAATTTAGGATAAATTACAACCACCTCCCTGGGGTAATGTTTAATTACAAAAAATGCCCTTTCTCTTGAGAAATTGCTTAGTCCGCTCTAGTTTGTAAATTTCTTATAACTACCCTACAAAAGGGCATTAATGTAAGAAATCTACAAATTGGCAGTGGTGGATGTAATTATGGAAAATGGAGGGCTTATTTCGTAAATAAACCTTACCTCACGGGGTGATTGTAATTTACCTAAAGTATAAGGTAAGTCAAAAAAAAACAGTAAACGGACACGTCATTGCAAAAAAAAAATAGCAAGAAGATATTAAATTACTTGTAGCAATTAAATAATATAAAATAAATTAAGTCGGATAAGTTATACAAACCATAAGGTGAAAAGAACGTTGGGAAGAACTAAAGCAAAACTGAAGCAATCATTTCCTGGTAAATGAAAGGACAACTCCAGGAATAAAAAATAATTAAAATTAAAATTAGAAAAGACAAAATGAAAACACTAGAAACGTGGCTTAACCCTATCCGCTTGAAACCTTAACAAAATCGAAATGAAAAATCAAACCTCACAGTAATTCTCATCTATATCTTGATTTATATCAAGGTAAAAATATATAAAACAAATAAAATATTAATACTGCACTAAAAATAATTATTTATTTTAGATTATCTCGTAAGATATTATCCATTACGGAAAAGGATCTTTTCACATTATCTCATAACATATTATTTGTTACGAAAAGAAAATTTAGAAAAGGAAATAAAACTTAAACCAACTGTAACTTAGACGGAAAAATCCTCAAAAATATTAACCTGTCATATATATATATAAAAGATTTTAATCGAAAGATCACAAATTAAAATCTCTCCAAACAAGACCTAAAGAAGAGAAGCTTCAATCGGCGTTCCCCACCCATAAACCGTACGTTGAGTTCGTTCGTGGCTTCGTGCTGAAAACGCTAAACGGAAAACATTTGTTCGAACAAAATAGTGTTGGAAAAAAGCAGAACTCAAAACCACCATCATGTATACTCCTGATGAAGATGGTTTCTCTCTCTCTCTCTCTCTCTCTCTCTCTCTCTCTCTCTCTCTCCTCTCTCTCTCTCTCTCTCTCTCTCTCTCTTCTAATGAAAACCCTTTTCATTTTTGTCACTTGCTTGAATTTTATTTGCATGTATGTATGGTTTTTACATGTATATCTATATCACTGTGATTGCAGATTACACGATTCACAAAGCTGCGGCTCTTGGAGAGCTTGAACTTCTTCATGGTAAACTCCTTTCTTGTTTATTTTAGTAATTTATTTTATTTTATTTTATTGGGGTTTTTTCTTTAAAAAAATGGGTGATGATGATGTATGATGATTGACAGAGATGGAAGTGAAAATCGGAGATGCGGATGATTTTCGAAGGAGGTGTGAATTTTGTAGAGACTATTTTGGGCTGACTGGTTTGCATTTTGCTGCTGCTAAAGGGTTTATTCACATTTGCAAGTTCTTGATTCACAAAATTAAAGTTGATATTAACATCAAAACTGATATTGGTATGAATTTTTATTCTTCTTTTTATAATTATAATATAATATACTGTTTCCCACTTACTTATTTACCCGTGTATTTCGAAATTGTTTGTTGCTTTGGTAATTTATTCGAGTCTTGATCTTGACAAAAGTTTTGTTATCTTGAGACAACCGTTTGTTTTGTTTCGTTTACGGCACGGTGGAAAATCGCGCGAGTTTTTCGGCTAGTCTTGATCGAAATGGGACCATATATAATTAAGTTGAATGTGGTCTTTGCAATTTTTTTTTATTAAAAGCATCGAAATGGGACCATAATTTTAGTATCGACACTACTGATGCAGGGGATAGTCCTCTGTTAGTTGCCGTTAAATCGAAACGTATCAGCACAGCAAAATATCTAATCAACCGAGGTGCCGATATTACTATTGCCAACTCTAAGGGGATGACTCCGCTACATTATGCTGCTGAACAAGGTTTTGCGACTCGTTCCCAATTTCTTATTTTTCGGATTATGGTTTTGTAGTAGACCAGCCTTTTAATGTTTAATTTATTTTTCATTTTGGGTTTTTAGGTAACGAGGAGCTTATGGAAATTTTGCTATCGAAAGGGGCTGATATAGAGTCGAATTCTGTGAATGGAACACCACTACAATATGCTGCATCGCTTGAAAATCTCGATTCTGTTCGCCTTCTCCTAGAGCATGGTGCCAATGTACGCAAACATACAAGTATATGTACCTTGTTAATCATGATAATCTCTGTATCGGAATTTATTATTATTCGGGATTACTCGAAATGAATGGTATTTATTTTTAATAATTTTTGCAGCCAAATCCAGTGTCTCTACTCTCTCCTTCGCCCCTTTTCTATGCGATTTATTCTCCGTCACATGAATTCTTGGAGCTGTTGCTGAAGGTATATATATATACACTCATCTCATAACCTTTTGTTAAAACTTGGATTATGGCACGATCGTGTGGTTTCCTTTCGACGAGGGTAAAATTGTAATATTCGTTAATTTCGTTACACGTGGTACAGGCTGGAGCTAATCCGAACATGAACTCATGTGGTGCAAGTCCTTTGTCGTGTGCAGCCATGATAGGCGTTCCGCGAGTTGTTACGTCTTTGCTCGCTGCTGGAGCTAATCCAAACCTAGTTAGCATTGTTTAGTTCCTATTTTTTTTTTCTCTTACTTGTTCGTTTTTGTCTATGCCTTTTATTTGTCTGTACATTCTTTTTTGATTGGATTCGTCTTTTTTGTTGTCTTTACATAGCTCTCAGAAAATGGTAATGAAGAGTATAAGGGTTGTCTGAAACCCATCGAGCAAGCTGTCAGTATGGGCAGACTCGATGTTGTTCGTATTTTATTTCCGTTGACTGAGAGAATTCCAGTTTATCCCGATTGGACCATTCGTGGAATAATAAACTACTTCCACTACGAAGCGGTCGAGATAAAGGTACTTATCTTTCATTTCTAATTAATTCCTATTAATTCTATTATATATTTGCAATTTTTGACGTTGCGGATTGATCAATATACATTTAATTACTTTATTTTATTTTATTTTTGTAGAGAGAGCAAAATAAGGAAGATTACTTGCGATTCGTTGATCAGAAAGGCAAAGATGCTGTGAAGAGAAAGGATTACGCTACTGCAGTAAAATGGTTCAGCGAGGTAATTTTACGAGTTTAGTCGTAATTTTGATATAAAGTTTGGATATCGTACAATTTTGCGGTCTCATTTTTTTTGAGTTGTTAGGGAATTTACGTGGACCCAAATAATGCAAGATTGAAATCGAATCGAAGCATATGTTGGGCGAATTTGAACGAACCTGCGTTTGCTTTATACGATGCTGAGGAATGCGTTAAATTGAGACCTGATTGGATCAAGTCTCACTACAGAGAAGGTGTCGCGTGGATGCTACTCAAAGTAATGCATTATATTAAATTCGGCTTCTACATTTTGTTCGATTATTAAAATTGAAGTCATTCGCGTTCTAATTTATTTTATTTTTTTATTATTTTTTTTTTGGCGAAGAGCTACGTGATGGCATGCAGGGCATTTTTTAGGGCTAAAGTGTTGGAACCAGAAAATGAGGAAATTGAAAAAGCGTTCGGGTGAGTAACTCGTCGTTTATCGTTTGATTTCTTTTAGAATTTTGAATTACTACTTTCGATTGATCTGATTTTTTTATTTTTTCTTCGATGATTGGCAGAGAAGCTGTTGTTGCTGCATCGCGCGAAATATGTTCGCAAACCTACCGTTGGAGGACGCCGTGAACATTTACCGATAATGACGTCGTTATTGTAATTATTCTAACTTTTTTTTGTTTTGGCTGCTTTTGAATTTTGATGGTTTTGTGTGTGACATAGAATTTCTTGTTTTTTTGTGTTTGTATTTACCTCTTTTGGGTTTTATATTAGTAATTTCTTAGTTTGCTCTTTCTTTAATTATTTTTTTATTTCTGGCAAATATATTATTAGAGAATAATTTGAAAAATAAAAATCATTTTAATTTATATTTTGCTAGTAAATAATTATTTTATATTTTAGTACTCGGACAAGAAATGAAAGGACATTTCCAAAGAAAAATTAAACTAGTTCAATTTAATTATGAAATTAATAGTCAGATCATGTCAGGAAAGGACAAAACCGTCATATGAAAATAGTGGAACGTGGCTTACCCCTACCCCTATCCGGTTCCTTCGATCATACACCCGGTGATAAACACTGGGTGGGTCTTTTGCTGCTACGTGTTCTTTTTTTATTTTTCTAAAACCCCTAAAGATAAACCCTAGCGGGGAATCTATTATAAAATACAAAAAAGAGACACGTGGCAGCAGAAGACCCACCCGGTGTAGGGTCGAACAAATCCCCCTATCCCCTGAAAACCCTAAATTTATTTATTTATTTAATTAAATAAACAAGTAATGCAAAAATGAGAAATTAGAGATTTGGCCAAACAAGCCCTAGAGTCTAGAGGGAGCCATAAAACCGTACGTAGTGCTAAAAAAAGCATTAAAAACAAAAACATTAAATTTGAACAAAGCTAAGCTCCATGCTATAAATAAACAGGGGGCTCTTCACATTTCCTCTGTAATTTCAAGAACTGAAAAACTCAAAACGCAATGTATACTCCTTCCGATGATGGTTCGTAATCGTGCCTGTTAATTAAAACCTTTTTCCTTGAAACTTATTTGCATGTTTATTTTTATATTAAATATTAAATTCATGTAATGTACTTTCCCTGTTTCACATCGATTGTTTACATGTATGTATATATGTATGTTTTTTAATTCTTGCTTGAAACCAACACATCGTTTTTAGTTTCTTGAACATCTTTCGTTGATTATATTTCTTTTTCTGGGTTTTCAAGCAATTTTTTTTTGTTTTGTTTTGTAATGTTCATACAATGGCAGATGCTCTGATTCTTGAAGCTGCGGGTAGTGGAGATCTTGAAATTCTTCAGCGTACTCCCTTTTTTTTCTTTTTAAACTAATTCTGTAAATTTTAATTTTTTAATTTTTTATTTATTTGTTGGATTTAAAAGTAGCCGTTGAATGATGACAGAGTTGGAAGTTAGATTTGGGGGTAATACGGACTTTCGCCGAAGATGCGACATTGTTAACGACTGTGAAGGGAGGAGACCTTTGCACTATGCCGCTGAGAATGGATTTATTCATATATGCAAGTTCTTGATCGACAATGTCAAAGTCGACATCAACATCAAATCTGAAATCGGTATATATATATATATATATATATATATATATATATATATATATATATATATCTTCATTCTCTTCTTTCGATGTTTTCCATATGAATATGCGTTGTTTCATTAGTATGCGTTGTTTATTTGCTTTGGTGATTTAATCTTTAGGTGATACTCCTCTGCTGAATGCTGTTGCAATGGGAAATATCAGTACCGCAAAGTATCTACTTATCCGAGGCGCCGATATTACAATCGCCGATTCTAAGGGGATGACTTCTTTGCATTATGCTGCTGAAAAAGGTTTTGCGACTCTTGTCGATTGTTTTTTTGTGATAACCGACATTTAATTTTTTAGCTTTTTTTTTTATAAATTCCGTTTTTAGATAACAGGGAGCTTATGCGAATGTTGCTATTGAGAGGTGCGGAAATAGAGTCGAATTCTGTTCTTGGAACACCGCTACAATGTGCTGCATCGCGTGGGAATGTTGATTCTGTTCGGTTTCTCTTAGGTCACGGTGCAAAGGTAGGCTAACACATGTTTTGATTTACGTAAAATCTTGTGTGAGTATTTTGTACCTTACTATTCGAATCCGATTTATTTTTTGCAGCCAAATCCAGTCTCTCTACTTTCTCACTCTCCGCTTGTGTCGGCAATTTCCTCTCGCTCGTTTCAATGCTTGGAGCTTTTGCTCAAGGTATATATACGTCCCCGAATTAAAGTTTGATCTTCAAGGTTCCGTTCGGACAAAGGTAAAATCGGAATATTCGTTTTGTTTTGTTGCACATGTACAGGCTGGAGCTAATCCAAACATTAGCTCGTGTGGTGTAAGCCCTTTAGCGTGTGCAGCGATGATAGGCAATGCACGAGTCGTTAAGTCTTTGCTTTCTGCTGGAGCCAATCCAAACTCAGTTAGCACAGTTTAGTTTCTTTTCTTTTCGTTTTTAATTTTTTTTAATTCTTAATTACGAAATATATAATCGTCTAATCTTGTTTTGTCTAGTTTTCAGACGGTGACGAGGCTTGTCCGAAACCTATAGAGTACGCTGCCCATGTGGGCAATCCTAATATAGTCAAGATTTTATTTCCATTGACCGAGAAAATTCCGAGTTATCCCGATTGGACTATTCGTGGAATAACAAACTACTTCCACACCGAAGAAGCCAAGACTAAGGTCTAGTAAATAAACGTATTTCACAAATGTTTTTAAAAGTGTGACATAAACGGGGGTTACGTTCTTGAAAGTCGTTAGTTTTTGGTTTTGTTGCAGAGAGAGGAGAGTAGGAATGCTTACTTTCAGTTAGTTGTTGAGAAAGGTCAAAATGCTATGAGGAGAAAATATTACTCAGCTGCAGTTAAATGGTTCAGTGAGGTAATTTTCCCATGCAGTAAATCTTTTTTTTTTAATTTTTATAAATAAGTTTGAATTCGATGATATCGTATAAATGTGAGTGTTTAGGCAATCTATATGAATCCAAGTGATGCAAGAATAAGATCAAATCGAAGCATATGTTGGGCAAAGTTAACCGAACCTGCTTTCGCGTTATACGATGCTGAGGCGTGTGTCGAATTGAGACCTGAATCGCCCGAAGCTCACTATAGAGAAGGTGTAGCATGGATGCTACTCAAAGTAATGCAGTTTATTTTATTCGGCCTCTAATTTTCATTCGGTTAATACTAAAGTTACTTACTCGGGCTCTAAATTTATTTTCTTACTTTTTTTACGAAGAATTATGCCATGGCGTCGGGGGCATTTATAAGGGCTACTAGGCTGGATCCGAGAAACGAGAAAATCGGCGCAGCTTACAGGTGAGAGCATTAATGTTTATTATTTGTTTTTTTTTTCTTAAAACATATATTAATTTATTTATTTTTCATGGCAGAGAGGCTGTTGATTCTTTATATCATGAAAGGCTTGCAAGGCAACCATTGGAGACACTGAACATGATACGAAAAGTTTTCGGATAGCTATTTTAAAAAAAAAAAAATTTAAATCAAATCTGATTTAATATTTCTGTAGGGAAATTCTATGTAACATTAATTGCATTGATGATCTATTTTGTTACATAGAATTTCTGCTCACAAGATGTATTGTAACTTGTAAACCATATAGGGGCTTTTTGTGACAAAATTTACATTAGTGTTGTGATTAATATAATATTTTCGGGCTGAGAGTGTAAATGCAATTAGTTTTGTTAATTACCAAATAATTACTGACTGAAAATAGGATATTCCATTCTTTATTTATTTATTTAAATTTCCATTGTAATAGTGGAATCTGGAAAGAGCTCATTGTACGGAGCTGGACCAGTTCATTCACCGCGTAGATCGCGACGCTCAAAATACACGCCCAACGACGGCGTATTGTATTGATCTCTCAATACCCATTCGTTCCTTCCTGTACAGATTCCTCAGCCAATCACAAACAATTAGGGTTTTTTCTCCAATTCCACTAATCAAAAATGGCGTCGGTCGGGTACAGTAGCCTACCGCCGTACGGCACCGGCGGCGGAGGCGGAGGGAGCGGAGTCTTCCTCCGCGCCAAATCGCGCACTCAAACGCTTTACGCCACGCGCCGCCCGTGGCGTGAGCTATTCGCTCACCCCGCCTCCTACTCCCTACCCTATAGCTTCGGCGATTTCGCCTCCCGCCTCAATCGCAACCTCGGCCATTTCCGCGTCAATTACGCGATGATTGTGCTGGTGGTGCTATTCCTCAGCCTGCTGTACCATCCGATCTCGATGATAGTTTTTATGGTGATCTTCGTGTTCTGGTTTCTCCTCTACTTCTTCCGCGACGAACCGATCGTGGTCTTCAACCGAATGGTGGACGACCGCATGGTGATGGTTGGGCTCGGAATACTGACGCTCGGAAGCTTGCTTCTCACGCGCGTGTGGTTGAATGTTCTGGTGTCTTTTTCAATTGGGACGGCCGCGGTTGTTCTGCACGCGACGTTCAGGGTTACGGAGGATTTGTTCCTGGATGAAGATGAGATTGCTTATGGCGGATTGCAATCCGTTGTTGGAGCTAGGTTTTGAAAAGTTGTTTTACAGATTTATAAAATGGCGAATGAGGTATTGGTTTGTTCATAGTAATTTTTTTTTTTTTGGCAGAAATGAAATCAAAAGGTATGATCATACATTCTTATCACAAATCAAATACTCAAGTTGATGTGATATTTACTTTTTGGAGGAACTAATGTTTGGATAAAGATTTTTTTCAAGTTGAATTGTTGTTAATTATTATTATAGAATATTAATCAAAAGGTTTGATTGATCTTATTGCTTACCTGATGTATACTTGTATGTATATGTAAAACTTGGAATATTCTGAAATATTTAAGCTAACTACAAGCTTTACTTTCAAGAAACATTACCCATAAATTCTAATGATATAGTTTAAGCATCCAAGGGACAAAGTTTTGCATAGGATGTATATTATTCATTTCATTTCGTTTCATTCGCACAACTGTCACGACTATAACGAGAGAGCACACGAGCATTGCACATAACTAGTACAAAACAAACACATCGAACAATATATATATGCACTGCAGTTGCACTAGAAAGTTATTAGTAAAGATCAAGTCGAAAATTCGAAGCGGTATACGAGTGCATACAAGTAGATAAACAAACAAGTACTTGAAATAACACAACAGACTATCTAACACAACAACTTGCTAAGGAAATGTTCGTCGTAACAAGAAAATGATTTAATCTATATCAATGGAATGAAGAAATTTTAGTATTATCTATCCACGGTGATGGAGGAGTCGATTTACTGGCAAAGAGGCAGAAAGATGCAATTGATATGCATAATGGTATTGGCACCAGCAATGGAGATAATGAAAGTAGTACTACTGGCTAGCTCCCCAAGAAGACGGATATGCCCCTTCAGAATACACCCCTGGAGGAAAAATGGGCTTTCAAGAATCGGGAACTCTGCGTGCGTAGCCCAATACCATCACAAAGTCCTTTGCCGATGAACCAATTGTGGCCGACACTTTCTCGGTGCTAGTTGTTTGGAGCCACATATCAACTAGATTATTCAGTGTCAATGTGGGAATCACTTTCTGTCCCATGCATTTTATTTCGACCTGCAAAAACGTTTAGATAAAAATAAAAATGACATGTAAGCAGATTGCTTTTCCATCTAACTTTTTTAGCGTAATTTAAAAATCAGTTCAGAATGAGAGCTTCGCATTCGAAATCAATTGTCAAAATTAATCCAACCAGATAAGTTCAAATGATTTATTATTATGGATTTGAAATGATATTCTCACTCAAGCAACGAGTTTCTTGCACAAACCATGCACAGTGTCTATACAGTCTGCACCTAATATGCACTAAATTGAGAACAGAGTCGTTTTAAGTTACTACAGGGATGAAAAGTTACCTCGTTTTCACTTGTCAGATCTAACTTCATCTTGAGGAACTTTTGAATATAAGAAACTGGTATACTCCCGTCCCTGTTAAGAATGTAATGGACCTTGATGAGAAAGTAATAAATTGTTGACGAATCATTTGATCAATAAAATCCACCAAGGCTTATTCAAATTCAGGACAAGTCCAGAAGGGAAGAAGACAAACATATTCAATAATCTCTAGAAGTATAACGGTAGAATTCACTATGTAGCATTAGCCAAATAGATCTTTAACCCATTCAATAATTTCACAGAAATTAAATTAGAAATCCCAAGTCATCCCCCTCGTTAATTCAGACCTAATACCTCTTCAAAGTATAAAAACATTTTCATAAGCATCAAGATTCAAGTATTTTCCAACTCAGGTTTTATGGATGAAATCAAGACTAATACTTCTGGCTCTTGGTTCCCTTTTATTGGAACTTTGTCCTTCATGAAGTTACCATAGTTCAATATTAAATTCAAAGAATGACAGGGGATTTGGGCATAAGGTTAATCTTACAAGGATATATCATATATGTGAAAACTGAAGTTATTATATGTGTGTGTGGGAATGCATAAGAAATTATCATTTAGAATCCAAAGTAATATTGAGCCTACCTACACCAATTGTCCTAAAAAAATTGGGTAGAAACGGTGATTTATTCAAAATATAAAGCAGCAATAGTCCAAACAATGAATGACAATAATGATAGTAGTATATGCATGAAAATATACTTGCCAGTAATTATAAAGACTCTTTAACAAAATCTGTGAAAAATTAATTTTCGATTTTTTTTAATAATTCAACGATGAACATTAATAGTTTATGCCCGTCAGGTTGCTCACAGGGCATTCATAATTTCCAGCCATTCCCAAATTTTGTAAAAGAAGAAGAAAAATGCTTAGATGAGAGAGTAGTTAGTCAAAACTCACTTTATTCTTAAGTAACTTGCAGCAATCTGAGGCAATGATGGTCCATCTCCTTCCCTGCAAATACATTACAAGAAAATCAGGGGAAGCATATTGATAGAAAACACATAACCATATTCTCTACTTATGAAGAATTATTCCTTTTAAAGATTGAGTTAAAAAGCTTACTTTTCATCTGGGACCAGAGAAAACCAAATTGGATAATTTCTACGTTCAAATTTGGCATTAGCAGAATCGAGCACAGTCTGGGCGGGAACCCTAAATTCTCCAGCATCCGGCGCCTTCTTTGGGCGAACCCTGCGAAATTTTTTAGGCCTTTCTGAATCTGGAAGGTTGCAGTCACTAGAGTTCTTCTCATCTTGAACTTTCAATTTCCGCTTGTGTTCTTTATTCTTAGATTTAGCAACAAGTCCCTCATTCTCATGAGAATCTACAGCTTCCGATTTAGAAAGAGATCCTTGGTTACTAAACTTTGAAGACTTGCTCCTATTTGCTGCCTCCACCAAACAATTTAAAGGTTTCCAAAGATCAACTTTTGCTTCCCAGCCATTATCTTTTCCCTTTTCAGAACTAGGGTGATTTGATGGCTCGTTAGCAACAGAATTCTGCAACAAAAAATTTCAGTGAGCACAAATAGTGCGGTTTGTGTGCAAAAATTGTGACTTTTGGGACTATGTATATACCGTACCTGCCTTGCTGTCTGAGGGAATTTGTTGAGCGTTTCTGGTGAACTAGATCTTTGAGGGTGATCTTCCATGTACATGTCTTCTTTCTTAACGGGTTTCTCTAATGTAAAACTGGAACCCTTTGATGCTTTTCTTGCAGTAAATTTGGATCTTCTCCCAGTCATTCCGCTCTGCGTTGATACTCTGGGAGTGCTCACTACCAATGATGAGAGAGATCTTTCCTTTCTCTTGGCAGGTAATGTGACAGGAGCAACTTCGGGTGCTCTCATCTTTATCCTCTTGTACGGGAATATTTTTGCCCGCACATCTTGCAAATTATGATCCAGCCTGGTAAGAAAAGCAGCGGTGACAGATTAAGGACAAAAATTTTTCTATTCTTTCAAGTTTATATGCACCTTTGAAGCACATATGCCAAATGTAAATAAAAGCATGTTTAGTATAAAGTTATATGATCACCAAAATAACATTGTTTGTGCATAAAAAAGACTAGATTCAATACTGCTCATAACAAGTGCAGGACCTGTGCATATCACGTACATAAAACCCGGAAATCTGATGGAAGAAATAAAAGAACTAAAACTAGGAGCATGCACCCACGAACAAATCCTATATTCACAAGTGTTTGTATGTATCATGCAAGTTATCGTTCATCATTAAAGTGATTCTGCAAGAATGAGCAAATCACACATAAATCATAATTTCCCTTTCAATGAACAACTAATGTGTAATGGGTGTGCTTATACACCACCGAATGTGCATTTTCAGTAAATCAAAAAGAGAGATGACAAAATCCGATCCAAAGAGCAAGAAGTTAAAATCTAACCTCAACTTTTCCAAAGGAACACATCCCAAATCAATGTTGCATATTGGACAGCATTCCATTTCCTCGTCTGAAAGCTTCTTATGTATGCATTTCCTACAAACTATAAGATAGGCAAAGTAAAGAAATTTGGTCCATCAGTGAGAAATTCTCAAAATCACACATTTTTTCTGATTGATAGAAAGGTCATGTCGTTAATTTGACCTCAGATTTCAAATATGACAACAAAAAATGCACATAATTGCACAGGAAATGCAAAACATTTACACCGGAAATGCACAGAATTACAGTAAGTCACCTTAGCATAAACAGTAGCAAAGCTCTTTGCACATGAGATCATCCAAGTAATGGCGACAAACATGTACACGATACAAGTCAAAATTTGTTTCCCCTGAAGCAACCTAATCTTTTAGGCAATATTTGTTTAGAGCACCAATTAATCGATGAAACATTCGCCACCAATTATTCAAATTTTCTCCAGTCTTTGTTGAAGATCTAGAATGAACATGTTCTCCTAACTCTAACAGAGGCATGCTTCTATCTCAAATTCAATCATAATTACTGGGGGAGTGTTGGGCTAAATAAACCAGACAGTACCAAAATTACCCCTATTTTGATGAATAAATGAAAACCTGAGATAAATGCCCTCCTTAAATCAATTAATATTCAATTAAACCGACTAAGGAAACCAACGCCCAGGCAAAACAAATTCAAATCAATTTAGAAACAATCCACAAACACACATCCAAAATACCCACATCATTAACACGAAATCTGCACAGGAAAACTCAGATCGCAAGTATACACACAATCCCCAAAAATTAATTCAATAGCCGACCGAGAATCACAAGTAAAAAACCACGATAACAAAAAATAAATTGGGGAAGAAGAAGAAGCAGTACATGTGTGGAGGCATTCGATAATAGTGGTGGCGTCGCGGAAGAGCTTGTGGCAGAGAGGGCATGTCATGCATGGCGCCACCGCCTCCCGCCTCACTTTCACGACCTGATGCGACATCGTATTGTCCAATTTCACAGCCCAATTCGACAAAATTACAATCGTACCCACGTATCCTGTGCGGTGCATGCGAGTACCACCGTGGCGGACGGGAAGTTACGTTCACTCCTCACAACTCCGTTATATCTGCATTAAACCCAAAGCCACAAATCGTCGCAGAGAAAATCATTCAGCTAACAGAACCGCAATTAGTGAAACACACAACAGATTCGAGAGGGATTATTGTATTATTGACCTGCAAATCTGAAGAAGAAGAAGAAGAAGATGGATTTGATTTGGGGAAAAAGGAGAACGTGGGTGGAAAGCCTCAAGGGGTGGCGTCTCCTCGATGATCTGTGTATGTATGTGTGTGTATTTGTGTGCGGTGGGGTTTTCAGAGTCGAAATCTAGAGCGAGAGAGAAGAGAGAGAGAGAGAGAGAGGGGCTTCGGCTTCGCTGTTACAATTAGCATGAAGGAAATATATTTTACTTTTTTCCAGATTTATTAGACCTCGTGGTATTGTTGAAGGAGTAAATACTAAATAATAAAATACATTGTATTATTTGCATTCAACTCCCTTATATTTAAGAGATTTAGCATTTACTTTTTTTTTTCAAAAGTGTGATTTTTTTCGTAAAAGAAAAGTTATATTCTTTAATACGACCACGCCCGTCGACCGTGACCGTATAGTCTTCGTAACGGAACGGACATCTGGAACGGACAGATAATTCATCATTAATAGCTAACGGAGTAGCCGAACGGACAGATAATTCAGCATTTATTGTAAATTTTGAAATTTTGGTCGTAATTCGGAAAATCGAAATCTCTAGATCTTTAGAAAAAAGGAAAGCATAAATCACAAATTCGTAAAATTTAAAGAGAGAATGCAATCATGATGTTGGATTTTGAAATTCTTTGAATAACAAATATAGCATTGTTTACCTAAACAAAATGAGGGAATGAAACTTCAAATTTTAATTTATAGGTCTTTTCAATTACATAATGGGCATGTATCTTTTTATGTAGTTTAAAATTTTCAAAAAAATATATAATTCCTAAATTTTGAAACATAATTAGAGATATGAACCTAACTAATAATTAATAGCGCATCAAAATTTGAGTTTAAAAAATATATTTTAAAAAAATATATATAATATATATATTTTAGTCTAGTATTTTGTTTTCAAATTTATATATTCAAAAAAGTCACATACTACTCATCACTTTGTACAAAAATAGTTTTGTGGGGGCCTCTTTGCAGAAAAAGCAAACATTGAGGGGCGGATATCGAAGTGCATAGAAAGATAAGTATAATTGTTAAGAACCGCATACTGCAATAAACTATGACGTGGTGAAAATTCGAAACAGATATTCCACTAATACAATTCTAATCCAAATTGAGCTAGAGATATATAAAATTCTAAGGGGGAAAAAAATGCAATTAGACTAAAAATCAATGTATTTTTACTCGATATTCGATTTTAGATATCGGTAAAAGTTCATTTAATTTAGACATAATTCGTTAATGCAACGAGCCAAACTCAAAACACGTTTTATCTCCATAAATGCAATTTTCAACTTTAATCCCATTTAAAATAAACATTATAAAATATAAATTACTTGACCATTCGTGTGTTCAACTCAATTAAAATTGATTTAATTCGATTGGACAAATTCAGAGAAAAATCAAAAGCTCAAAAGGACGTGCCTTCAAACTAATAATAGACTTTTTAAGGACCAAAAACAAATAATTGGTATTTACTACGTTTTTATGGTTTTGCCGATAAAAGGACGGCGTGTGGGGCCGGGGATTATCATGCGCCGGCTGTACACATTAGCAATTACCAGTCTTTGCGTGCAACCAACAACAGCATGGGCTGTGCTTTTCGGTGTTCAAATTTGGGCGCAAATTAGCATGAATAATAATCCTACATAGTCAAACCCTAAAAGTGAAAGTCAGTATCACGAGAAACACTAAAAGAGTAATTAATAAATATACTAATTAATAAATATCATAAATCAAATAATCACCATTGATTTTTTTAATTTTTTTTAATTAATGAAATCATATGTGTAGAATCATGCGTGGGAACCCTACTTAGTACTTACATGAAGCATGTTTTTTTTCTTCTTTCCCTTGCCTTTTCTTATTTTAGGAAGTAGTCCGCCTTAATTCAAATATAATTTCGTCGAATTTTGATTATTGACCTAGATTAAATATGTTCGCTTCGTGCAGACGTAATCTACACAAAATGATATGCACATTTTGAGTTCGTTCGTGTTATATGCTTTTAATTTTAATGTAGTTTTTTTTTGGCAGTGTACCATTTAGAATAATTTTATGACGAACTAATTAAGTAGAACAAATTAAATAAATCAAATCATTAGTTGGTATTGACACTTATTAGGTGAATGATGTGCAAAGCTTACAACTTTGACAATATTATGGCACCTAACTATAGATATTAATGAACCAACATATTGAACATATAGAACAATTGCATCAATAACCAACTTATTATACAATTATAATTTTATTAATCGCTACATTTACAAATGTTCGAGTTGAGTAGTGTCGAGAAAAACCCAATCGACCGTCAGTCGTCAAGCCCATGTAAAGATCAAATTTTCCCATTGCTCGCATTGGCAATACCTAGTTTATGGTGTTCATTTATTTCTACTTTTTTTTTTTCTTTTTTTTTTTTATAAATATTATTCGTTTAAAATTAAAACAATAATTTGCATTTTAGAAGTTTATTTCACCATTAGGGTTTTTACTATTTAAAGGTCCGGGCCCGTATTTAAATTTATTTACAAAAGGCCCAAATCAGATAGATGGATCCAATTTAAAGCCCAAATTGTCTCTGTATATCTAAAATGTTATTGGGCTATATTATATTATTAATTAAAATATTTTTATTCTACAACTACACTGTACTCTTTTATCAGGAGTTGTAAGATACACGCAAGGAACATATACTCGCCACGTGTCCGCAAGTAATGTTTACATATTGCCAATGATTAGTTACACTATATACATGAAATTGGGTGATTGAATTGAATTATCCCTAGAAACGTGTCGATTAAGAAGCGCGCTTTTAAGCTTTGTCTAGTAGGTTCTTTACACGTTTCTTTTCGACAAACCCAACCATTGTCACGTGGGATGTAGTGCCGGTGCGTACTATATACTATATATATATATTTTGCTTTGTTTTGGGGCGACTAATTATAATAACAAAAGCTCACGCTGTTTATAAGCTGCTTCGCTATATAAAGCATTGCTAGTAGATTTCGCTCGTGACCATCACATCAGTGTCACGTGAACAACTGTATTCTATTTTCACTCATTAATTAATTATTTAATTATTTAATTACGTCTGATTTAATTGGAGTAATGTTGACGTATGTATACCTGATTTCTTCATTGGGTAATTGGCCCATCTGAAATCAGGCCCGATCTCAAAGGAGACCACGAAAATAATAATTAAGGTTTTTTTTTTTATATATTTTTTCTACATTATTATATATATTTTATGTAATGTCTAATATTTGAATTAGTAGAACAACAAATAATTTAATATAGTTGTGCTTATTTAGGGCAAAGTGATTAGAATTAATTTAATTATAAGTTGTTTGGACCAATTAATTAAATAATACTATTGTTTGAAAACTCTTTAATAACGTACTAATATTTATTGAAATAATGAAAAATGTGAGTATATGGATTTTTTATTTGTTTATTAATGCAAAATTGTGACTATATCAAACTAGCAGAAGTCAAACGCTAATCGAGTAATTAGACTCTATTTTGGTGTAATAATTACCACATGACTATATCCACCAAATTAGTGATAATAATAAGAATCGAAAGTAATAATAAGAAAATAATAAAAATTACATAATGCCAAGAGTTGGTGAGTAAAGTGATAAATAGTTGTTGGGATTGTTTATTTCCACAACTTTGGTTAATTATAAGTTGATATGTCAAGTAAAAAGTTATACATTCAGTAAAATCTCGATATATTAATAACTTCGCTCAAATCACTACAAATTTAGGAGAAAGTCAGAAAACTATTAAATTATTAGTTTGCTAATTTAATATTCTATTTAATTAGCAGAATTTTGCTAGTCAACATAATATTCAATTATAGAAATTTAAATATATTTAATAATTTTTTTTAAATCATATAAAATGCCAGTCCCTATCATTACCTCGTTATTCCCGCATTTCAAATCTCCACAAAAACCATTGAATAAATTCCAATTCCCACCAATTAAAATAAAATAAAAATAAAAAATAAAAACAAAATAATCCCTAATCACATTCGACGCGCACACGGCACACCCCGTCCTGAAACGAACGTGCCACCACCTTCTCTCCCCGCCTTCCCCGCCCTTCACTTAAAAAAAAAAATTAATTTTCCTTTTTTTCTTTTTTATTTTCTCTGCCGAATTAAAATACTCTGAGCACACAAATTTTACTTCCTCGAGATCTTATTATCGGTGAAAAACCCTAACTAGTTTCTCTCTCATCTCATCACCACGATTTTTTCCGACTTTGTTCAGTTTCGAGATTTTTGGAAATTGCGATTTGGAATTAAACAATTACAGGTTTTTTGTAATTTTTTTGTTTTCCGATGCGGAGGATTGTCCGTTAACTCGATTCCGCGGAGAAGTTTGATGAGGGCATTTCGTAAATGCTCGAGGATTTTGATCCTCTGCTTGCTCTGCGTCTCTGTTTTTGTTCCCATTTTTATACTGTCGTATAGGCTCAAACAAATTAATTCCGATGGTGAGTGGCTGGCTTTCTTCTTCCTCCGTGTACGCATCGATTTTTTTGTATTTATATTTTTTACTTTGTTAAATCTGATCTGTGATTATTCGTTTTGCTATTCCTTGTTGGTGCAGTATCGGAAGACTTCGTTGAAGAGTTATCCATCATTGTATGAATCTCTCTTCCTTAGCACCTATTGATATTGCTATACTCATGTACTATCTGCGTTGTAATGTCATTTTCCGGTAGTTGACGGTCGATACTTGAGTTCTGCGTTTTTGCTTTTGTTTTGTGCTCTTTTAATTTGAGAATTGATAGAATAGTTGCATATGCTTGAGAGTTTATTTTCTCATTTGGTTATCTGAGATCATGGGACGGAACCTGTGATCGAAGGTTATGCATCTCAGTGTTTTTTTTGGTGTAGTTCTCCTTGCTAATGTGACCTTTTTATTTTATTTTTTTATATATGAATTCCTTGCTACTCAGATTTATCACACGTTATTTAGTCTCAGCTCTTCACTTTAAAGCATTAGGAGTGTGTGATCAAATATGTGATCAGGAACTGAGATATTTACATCTGGGATTTCTTTTATTTGCAGAAACACAGGACAGAAGCTCAAACACTTAGTGCCATAGAGCAGGTAACCAGAGAGAGATCGATTGGTTTTTGTGGAAGATGTAATGTTGTTTTTCTTTTTTTCTTTTACTTAATTATACTATAATTTTGTGGTTTAGGAAGAAAGTCGAGGTTTGAAAGAACCTCCCCTGTTGGTGTACAAAGACGATCCCGCTAATTCTGCATTTAATTTTAGTTCTAGCGAGGAATCAAGATTTAGTGAAGTTAGTTTTGCAACTAATGATGCTGGCTCGTTGAAAAATAACGGTCAGTATTATTCTTGTGCATTTTATTTCAAAATTATCTGTTGTTTATTGTGTTGTAGTCTTAGTTTATATTTTCTGTTCTCATTTCAAGTTCAGCAACTAGACTTGACAAAAATGGAGGTGGCCAAAGAAGACGGCAAGAGGAAGAGGTGCCTGTGCCCGTGGCGAAGGTATGCCATTCCGATCAATGTTAATGATTTTGCTGTTGCAGTTTTATTTTTTGTTACTATTTTTCTCATATCAATATATAAATTTATGTCATATTAAATTTTGCATTTTGGAGGTACCCTTGATAATTCACCGAGTTCTATACAAATTTGCTAAAAATTGTTTGAATTGCAATTAGTCATCAATAATTCGGAATGAGTTATGAGTGATGTATGTGGCTGCTAAAATGATGTGAATGGAACGAATCTATGAGTGCACTAGTTTGGCTATCACGAATATCTCTAGAATAATTGTTGAAATCTTAAGGGAATTCCGAGAAATTGATGCACATTGAGTCTCCATAGTCCATACTGTGTGATGTCCTTTTCAAAGACTATAATTCGGTGAAACCATGAGGCGGATATATGCCTTTTCGGGGAAATTTACGTGGAGATTATCTGTGAAATTTTCTACGATAAAATATATCTTTATTTCTAGGTTCTAAAGTACTAATAATTCGACTGTCATAACTTTTCAATTTTTTCTTCTGGTTTTCTCCTGTGTTATGCACTCACATTGCATCTGTTACATGCACAAGAGTTTGACGTGAAGTACTAAAAGATTACAGCGATGTTTTATCAGAACTGTTTTTCATATTTACTCTCTCCCGGTCATTCAACCAAAGCATCCTTTCTTGACCTGTGTTGCTGGATGTAGAAAGTAGTGCTATGTCAATTGTCAAATGTATCATAAGTTTCTCTTCTCGTCTTTCTTTTTATTTTCATTCCTTCTACTCCACTAATTGTTTTCTTTTGGTTCACCAAAGGAAGAGTCACATGTAAGCAGGGTACAACATGATCAAGTTGTACGATCCAGGTCGAGGGCATTGGATGAGAAGGTAAAAGAGATGAAAGATCAGGTGATTAAGGCCAAAGCGTACTTAAATTTCACACCAGCAAATATCAGTTCTCATTTCGTAAAAGAGTTGAAACTTCGAATTAAGGAGGTTGAACGAGCCATGAGTCAGTCTACCAAAGATTCTCGTGTATCTAGGAGGTACATCCTTTGCTCATAATATTCTTTATTAGGATTCATTTATTGTCGCAAATATTTCACTTGTGGCATACCCTATTTCAATTAATGCTGCGGCCGCTGTGGCCTTTTTTTGTTAGCATTGTTAGAGTATATCGACTAATTTGTTAATTGCTCTCCCACATCATTTCATTGTGATTTTTTTATTTTTAATACGACGACAATGAAACATGCACTTGTAAATTGTTTAGGAAGATCCCTCATGCCCTCTGAAGTAAAATAATTAATGTGCTACTAATTGATGTCTGATGTTTTTCGTGAATCGAAATCACCTTTGAAAAAAAAATTAGGATTACATAATATCTTCCTGTTTTTGCTTCTCCGCCTATTTTGTAATTAGTTCGTCATTTATTAAATTGCACTTGGGATCCTAATCCAGCTCATGGACGAGTCTCGCATTTTTTCTTATTTTCTTGATTTCTCGAACTTGCTCAACCAGACATGTGTTAGTACTTCTTTCCTGTGGCTGCCCGAGCAAGTTTAAACTGAGATATTGTTTAACAGATCACTGAACTCATGCCTATGTTTTAAGTCTCATTGAATGCCTTGTGACAACATAGATGTCAGGGCCATGTAATGGTGCCGAAAAACTAATGTTCTATGAGAATACAGTGAAGTATTTAATATATAAACCTCTTCTTCAGTTCCCTGCAGAAGATGAAAGCAATGGAGTCTACGTTGTTAAAAGCTAGTCGTATTTACCCTGATTGTGCTGCCATGATAAAGAAACTTCGTGCTATGACTTATAGCGCTGAAGAGCAGGTCCGGTCACACAGGAATCAAGAATCTTTTCTTAGAGCACTTGGTGGAAGAACCATCCCAAAAAGCCTTCACTGCCTATCTATGAGATTGACTGCTGAATATTTTGCCTTGGATCCTGGGGGAAGGGAGCTCCCTTACAAACACAAACTACAAGATCCTCATCTTTATCACTTTGCCATTTTCTCTGACAATATATTGGCTTGTTCAGTTGTTGTGAACTCAACTATCTCAACTGCTAAGGTAAGTTGCTGTAGCATCTCTTCTTTCTATTGACACCTGTCTTCATTTTTCTATGTTATTCATTTCAAGTGCCAGTAATTTGTATTGACAAAGGTTACTCTAATCCCTTAAAATCATTCTATCTATTAATTTGCTGGTCTTTTTGCATCTTTTTGTGGTCTACTTATTTAAATGTGTGTGTGTGTTATGTATCTATATTTTGTGTGAAGCTATTACAGTGTTTTCTAGTGTGGCCCCTATTATCATCATTTCTTGATGTCAAATAAATCCTTATTCAACAACAAAATTTCTGCTGATCACATCTTACATTTCTATGGCTAACTAGTATCCCTCTACCTGAGGTAGGATTTTTAACAGAAGTACTGCTGCAGTTCTCCACATAGAAAGCCAAATAATTGTCTACATTTTATGCATTATAGGGGGTTTCTAGTTAATATACCTTTTACTTCTTTTGGTGCAACTCATTGATGTAGAAGATAAATTGTGCTCAGCATGACGGGTTATAATTATTGGGAGGCTATGGATATTGGCAAATGCTCGATGTTTCTCAGTTCTGTTTTTTTTTTTGAACAGGATGTTTCTCAGTTCTAAATTATGCATATTTATCAACCGCTAAACTATAGTTACATTTTCTTTGCTCGACAGGATCCAGCGAAAATAGTATTTCATATAGTGACGGATTTCCTCAACCTCCCAGCAATGTCAATGTGGTTCTTATCAAACCCTCCTGGCAAAGCTACAGTTCACGTGGAGAGCATAGAGAATTTTCCATGGTTAATCACCAAATATAATGAAACTCTGCAGAGGGAAGGTTCTCTCGACCCCCGCTATATATCTCAGCTGAACCACCTTAGGTTTTATTTGCCAGATATTTTTCCTCATCTCACTAGAATTGTCCTGTTAGATCATGATATTGTTGTCCAAAAGGATTTAACAAAACTTTGGAGCATTAATATGAGAGGCAAAGTAAACGGTGCAGTGCAGACTTGTAAGGAAGGTGAACCCTCGTTCCGACGTATGGATATGTTTGTCAATTTTACAGACCCCATAATAGCAAATAAATTTGACCCCAATACATGCACATGGGCCTTTGGGATGAATCTCTTTGATCTTCACGAATGGAGACGGCGAAATTTAACCGGGGTCTATCACAAATATCTTCATTTGGTAAGTAAAATTTGTTTTTGTTCTGAATGACGGTTTGTACTTATCATTCTATCTGCATTTTCACTTCTTTTCTTGGTGGTATGTAAATCATAATCTGCAATGCCGGATTTTTCAGTCTGTGGTTATGAACTTATGATGCCATCTCTTTAAGACAACCTTAAACATAAAAAATGCTAGTAAATCAAATACAATGGTTTCAAAAGATTATGCAGATACTAATACAAGAATTCGTCTTGCAGGGCAAAAAGAGGCCACTGTGGAAAGCGGGAACCTTGCCGATTGGTTGGGTCACGTTTTACAAACAAACGGTAGCTTTAGACAAGAGTTGGCATGTACTAGGGTTAGGATACGACTCTGGTGTGAGGCAGGAGGACATAGAACAAGCCTCGGTCATACATTTTGATGGGATACTTAAACCATGGTTGGATATTGGGATTGATAAGCACAAGCCCTTGTGGAGGAAACATGTCAAATACGAGCATCCCTACCTTCAACAATGCAACGTCCACGAGTAGTTTAAGAAGAAATTTTTGCCATAGATGTAGAAATCACATGCGATCAACTCCATTCTTTCCTATTTTTCCACAATTTTTACATGTAAATTTCGATTTTTCAAAGTTTTTTAATCTACTATTAAGATTTTAGAAGCTGAACCCGTTTCATAGTAATAACGGGCCGAATTCGGTGAAGCCCGTGAGATGATGGTTCTTACTTGAACTTGAAATCATGTATATAGAATTCATATTGAGATTGCTGATGTCATATGGTTTAAGACTGTTGTATACGATGCATTCCAGGTTTAATTAGCATTCTTAATCATATTAGCCCCAAGTAATTTTACTATTATACATTATTTCACCCTGTTAGAAATTGTAATATTATATATTTTTATTTATTATATTGAGTGGGCCAGAGACGATGCTCCATTGGTTAACTCTCTAAAAAATAAGTGGTTGTTAAGAGATTATGTAACACGTGGCGGATTTTGATTGGGTTCATTTGGATGAGAGGCCATTTACCTAATCCTAGCGTGTGGTTTTGTGCTCACTCAGATGCTTGACAAAACCCACAAACAAAATCTCGAGTTTCCTGAGTTTGGAATTTGTAGCTGAGTTTTGCACAGAGCCTCTCCTCATTCAACTAAAAAAATAATATACAATGGCCACCATCTCTGCTTGCACCTCAACTTCGTTAGTTGCACGCGCCGCCCTCGTACAGAAGGCATCCGCCGTGCGCCCCGCCTCCATTCTCGGTAAGAATCTCCCCACTCGATGTCGTAAATTACACTTACAACCAATACCTATATATTAATTTTAGGATGAAGGTGAATTAATTAATTTTCTTAATTAGAATTATAAACTCTCAAATAAGATACTTTAACAACAAAAATATGGATTTTCTAGTTTAGCTCTAAGATATTAGCAGATTTTTTATTCAATAACTTAATTTGAATAAATTACTGTAATAAAGTTATAACCATTTTTTTCTATTATAGCAAGGTTAAGATTAAATTTGGTGAAATGAAATACAGGTTTGCCTTCAATGGCAAAGAGCATGGGGAAAGTGAGATGCTCCATGGAGGGTAAGCCACAAGAGAGCGAGGCAAAGTTGGGGATGGGCGCTTCGGTGATGGCGGCGGCTTGTGCGGCGGCGATGTCAAGCCCGGCGGCGATGGCGCTGGTGGATGAGAGACTGAGCACGGAGGGAACTGGTCTGCCATTTGGGCTGAGCAACAACCTTTTGGGATGGATACTTTTGGGTGTTTTTGGTTTGATTTGGACTCTCTACTTTACCTACACTTCTGGCCTTGATGAAGATGAGGAATCAGGCTTGTCTCTTTGATATTCAAGATTATGGATTTTCAATTTTTACTTAATTATTATAAATATATCTTGTTTATGTGTAAAACTATGTTGATTCTGTGCCTGTAAACAACTGCTTTTAATGTAATTTTATCTGGGTTTTATAAACCTTGTGTTGTTGTTTGCTTCAAATTGTTGGTCCAATGTGATTAGTGGGGTTAACTTCAAATAATGTTTTTTTTTTAAATAAACATAGTTAGTGTAATGTCAAATTAGAGAAACCATTATGATTCTGATCAATGAAAAAGATATATATTTATTTTATTAAAAAACCCTTTGGAATTCTTTAAAATACTTTAATTTAAGTTTTAATAAAAAGAACTTCTACATTGTATATTGTATAGATCAAAATTTTCTTCATTAACAAGGCACTTTTTACTATTAGTGTTTGATGCTGCTCCAAAATGTTGGGTCAGCCCAATGGTCGTGAAGCCCACAGGTCTCCTAAGTCCGGGACCGAGGTAGTCGAAGGGATCGCTCCACTCGTTAACCTACAAAACAGTTGAAAACACTAGGTGACACGCCGGGGGTGGCCCGGCGATTGTCCTCCGACGCTCAAGTCAGAAAACTATCACAATATAAGCAAATAATATTAATTAATTGCCTAAATAGTGCTTACCTTATTATATGAGTTAAATCACATATTTATAGGTGATGGAATATGGAGACTTCTTGTAGAAATCCGATGTGGGACAATATGTTATAACTAAAATCCTATTGAATTTTAGTAGATGTGATAATTGGGCTTTTATTATTAATTGGATTGATTTGGCCTTTTAGGCCAAAAACCCAATTAAGAATTAGGCACATCATTAAGCCCCCCACTCCCAGGTTGGGCCACGGCCTCGTGGACCTGCCTGGGAGTAAATAAGAAATGGTCGCTTGAATACGTATCTCCCCCTTTTTTTCTGTTAGGAGAAAATACCGAAATTGCATTTTATCTTTTTCGGAAAAAATTGCCAATGGCTAATTTGTTTTGGAAAATGCTTCGAGACTTCGTGAATTGGGAGTCTGTTTTTCTTCAAGAACGAGAACTTAATTTATCTTCCTTAATAGGTGATATCCCTTGGCTTTAGTGCTTAATCGGACTCGCGCATTTCCTAAAGAATGAGTTTTGCTTTATCTTTTCCGGTGAGACGGTATCCCTTGGCTATATTGCCTATTGAGAGGTTCGGCTCTCGTAAAGAATGAGCTTTACTTTATCTTTTTAGGTAAGACGGTATCCGTTGGCTTTAACGCCTAATGGGAAGTCCATTTTTGAAAAGAATGAGTTATGCTTCATCTTTTTCGGTGAGACGATATCCCTTTGGCTATATCGCCTAGTAGGAGGCTCGACTCTCGTAAAGAATAAGCTTTTACTCTATCTTTTTTGGTAGGACGGTATCCCTTGGCTTTAACGCCTAGTAGGAAGTCCGTCTTTTTGTAATCGGATTCGTACCAATGTGGATGAGAATATCGAGGGCCGATATGTTGTGGGGTGCGTTTTGAGGCTTGAGTATGTTGCGAAATTCAATATTTGGTCTCGCGACTCGAAGTACTTAAAAGTTTTGTCGAAAAACTTACCGGGCTTCAATGTTAATGTGGCGTTTTGATAAATCCGTAGATTGTCTTAACACGTGAGAAATTCCACGATATTGGAAGTTACAAGTTGTAGTGTGAAAAATTTAGAATTTGTCGGTGCAAATTTTGCGAAATTCGGAGTTGTTTGGAGAAAGTTAGAAGCAAGAGAGTGTTGATGCTCGTTTTCCAAGAAAAGGAAAATACTGTGGGCGGTCGCAACTCGGAAATTGGGCCGGTGCGATGTCATGCGGTAAGGAAAATTCGTGCGGCTGGGTAGCTGCAGCCGACCGAGTCAACTCGGTCGGCTGTGGGTCCCCTCGGATGGGCCTGGTATCTCGTTCGAAAAAAGGTGGGCTGAGTGGGCCGTGACGTCAGCCAAGAAAAGTGTGATATCATCCGGTGCGGGGATCGAGGCGGAGCTGTTGAGTGCTAGGGTAGCGTGACATTAGCCATGTGCTTGGCGAAAAGGCTGCGTGACGTCAGCGAGAGAATTTGTGATGTCATGTGGCTCGAAATTCGAGGTACTGGTGACACCATCTTGCGGAAGATTGTGGAATGGTTGGTGCTGCCTACTGCCAAGTGCTAATTTTATATTTATATATATATATATATATATATATATATATATTTTTTTTTTGTTTTTTTGTTTTTTTTTTTTTTTTTTGTTTCTTGAGATAGAGCTTCGACACTTTGTGAATCGTGAGTCCGTTTCTCACCAAGAACGAGGACTTATTTTAGTTTTCTTAACGGGTGATATCCCTTGGCTTTATTGCCAGTGGAAAGCGCGCATTTTGTAAAGAATGAGTTATGCTTCATCTTTTTCGGTGAGACGCTATCCCTTGGCTATATCGCCTAGTGGGAAGCTCGGTTCCCGCAAATGATAAGCTTTTACTTTATCTTTTTAGCGAAGAAGGTATCCGTTGGCTTTAACGCCTAGTGGGAAGTCCGTATTTTTGTGAAGAATGAGCTATGCTTTATCTTTCTAGGTGAAACGGTACCCCTTGGCTTTATTGCCTAGTGGGGAGTCTGTATTTCTGTACTTGGCGGTTGATCAGACCCTCAAGTTTTTTATGTGGGAAGTCCGTTTGCCTAAGTGTTTTATACGAACTTTTATGGCAGATCAGACTTCCTTGAGCTTTAGTTGCTCTATTTTTTGGAGCTCTGGGAGCGAGAAACCAAGGTTCGAGTTGGCCAGACCCTTTGTGATCCTTGATATCTTCCCATTTAGCTACTTTTTGAATCTGTTGAATTTTTGTTAAATCGATTGTCAATGCTCTGCGTGCAGAAGACAAAGGGTTGATGTAGAAATTACGGCGGCGGTATCCCACCGGCTAAAATAGTTTATTAATAATCTTGCGGCTGGTAGTGTGCCGCCGATTTATTACATAATTGTAAATATTGAGCGGTGCGGTATGCTAGCGACTTATTACCTGATTGGAAATATTGCGCGGGACGATATGCCCCCGACTTATTGCTGAAAAGAAATTACATGGAGCCCGCGTGGGGCAATAATAAATATTAAGTAAAGTATTTCTTCAGGATTGCGATTGTTCTAGGAATTCGCTCAAGTGCCCATCTTGGAGAAGTCTTTCGAGTGATTGCTTAAGCTGAAAGCACTCCTCAGTAGTGTGACCCCGATCTCTGTGGTATTCACAGTAGTTATCCGACTTTTGTCGTTCTGGATTCTCATTCATCCTTTTCGGTGGTTGAAGAATACCCTTCTGCTCAGCGATGATCATAATGTCAAGAAGTTTATCCTTGAGGTGAGAACTTCCCGAATGTGCGATTTTCGATGGGATGTCTCTCTTCTTCTCTATTACAGTTGTGGCTTTCTACAGCGCGCTTTTATTTAAGGGGTACTCTCATCTCCGTGATCTCCTCAATCCGTCTGTACTTCCCAGCGTGGTTCAAGAGCTCCTCCAGGGTCTTAGGGGGTCGGCCCGCGATGGACTCTCGAAAACGAACATGCTTCAAATTTTGTTGTAGTATGCCGGCTAACATCTTGTGAGTAACGTGGCGCACTTCATGTACTGCTTTGACAAATCGTTGTATGTAATCTCTGAGTGGCTCTCCGTCTCGTTGTATGACCTTGAAGAGATACGATCCAGTTTTGGCATATTTCTTATTCATTGAGTCGTGGTTAAGGAAATGTGTCGCTAGTTGGTCCAAATTGTCTAAGGACCCTCCGGGCAAGCCGTTGAACCAAACTTGTGCCTGATCAGTCAGCGTAGTCTGAAAAATCTTGCAGTAAGCTGCGTTACTGAGGCCGTAGAGGTCAAGCTTGGCGTAAAAGTTACTTAAATGTTCTTGGGGATCTCCGGTCCCGTCAAATTGGGGTAGATTGGGGATCCTAAATCCGAGGGGTAAGACTTCTTCCATAATGGCAGGAACAAATGGGCTTATTCGAGCGGGGAATGTTTCAAAGCGAGCGGTCGTTGGCCTCGAAGCTTTTCGTCGAGGTCTCCTTGAGTTACGGTCATCAATGCCATCACGACTCATTTTCTCTTCAGATTGGGAATATCTACTTCCAAATTTATTTCCAATAGAGTCTCTATGCCGATAGGAGCGCTCGCTATTCCTGTCGTATCGTGATTCGTGGCGTGCCACACCCGGCCGAGAAGAAACACTTCTCTCTCGACGGCTATGCGCCGCTCTCTCCCTTGGAGGAGCCCTCTGCCTCAAGGGGCGTGGTGACCGGCGGCGAGCTTCTCTTCGAAGGGGGCGGTTCGATGATGGGTTGTGATGAGGCGATTGGTGGTGAGCGCATCTTCGAGGCTCATGATCTGAGGATGCGCTACACTGAGGCGAGTGGTGGTGAGCCTCTTCGAGGAGCTCGTTCAGAGAAATAACTTTGGCTGTCGAGCGATACTCTTTTAAGGCTTGTAATTCCTCTGCAGTCATCTAAATGACCGGCGCTGAAGATCCCGCAAGGTTGGCCGCTCCCGTCGTTCTCTCCCTTCGAGGCGGCTCTATGACTCCAGCGTTACCTTGAAGTGGTTGGTTGAGATCGCCTTGACCACCTTCGTTGGCCGCTCCCATAATTCTTTTGGTTCGAGGCGGCTCTAAGACTCTACCGCTCTTCGGGGCGGCTCTGAGACTCCGTCGCTCCCTCGAGGCGGGCGGCTCTAAGACTCTTCCGCTCTTCGGGGCGGCTCTGAGACTCCGTCGCTTCCTCGAGGCGAGCGGCTCTACGACTCTTCCGCTCTTCGGGGCGGCTCTGAGACTCCGTCGCTTCCTCGAGGCGGGCGGCTCTAAGACTCTTCCGCTCTTCGGGGCGGCTCTGAAACTTCGTCGCTTCCTCGAGGCGGGCGGCTCTAAGACTCTTCCGCTCTTCGGGGCGGCTCTGAGACTCCGTCGCTTCCTCGAGGCGGGCGGCTCTAAGACTCTTCCGCTCTTCGGGGCGGCTCTGAAACTTCGTCGCTTCCTCAAGGCGGGCGGCTCTAAGACTTTTCCGCTCTTCGGGGCGGCTCTGAGACTCTGTCGCTTCCTCGAGGCGGGCGGTTCTAAGACTCTTCAGCTCTTCGGGGCGGCTCTGAAACTTCGTCGCTTCCTCGAGGCGGGCGGCTCTAAGACTTTTCCGCTCTTCGGGGCGGCTCTGAGACTCCGTCGCTTCCTCGAGGCGGGCGGTTCTAAGACTCTTCCGCTCTTCGGGGCGGCTCTGAGACTCCGTCGCTTCATCGAGGCGGGCGGTTCTAAGACTCTTCCGCTCTTCGGGGCGGCTCTGAGACTCCGTCGCTTCATCGAGGCGGGCGGTTCTAAGACTCTTCCGCTCTTCGGGGCGGCTCCGAGACTCCGTCGCTTCCTCGAGGCGAGTGGTTGGGATCGCCTTGATCCTCTTCGTCATGACACGTGATCTAGTTTGCCTTCCCACAGACGGCGCCAAAATGATGCTGCTCCAAAATGTTGGGTCAGCCCAATGGTCTTGAAGCCCACAGGTCTCCTAAGTCCGGGAATCTTCATGCCCAATATCGGGAATGCCGAGAGTCCTTGCCACTCGTCCGAGGTAGTCGAAGGGATCGCTCCACTCGTTAACCTACAAAACAGTTGAAAACACTAGGTGACACGCCGGGGGTGGCCCGGCGATTGTCCTCCGACGCTCAAGTCAGAAAACTATCACAATATAAGCAAATAATATTAATTAATTGCCTAAATAGTGCTTACCTTATTATATGAGTTAAATCACATATTTATAGGTGATGGAATATGGAGACTTCTTGTAGAAATCCGATGTGGGACAATATGTTATAACTAAAATCCTATTGAATTTTAGTAGATGTGATAATTGGGCTTTTATTATTAATTGGATTGATTTGGCCTTTTAGGCCAAAAACCCAATTAAGAATTAGGCACATCAGTGTTATTAGTATAAAAATAAATATTAAAAAAAGTAAGTCGAATATAAATAATTATATTATTTATTTAATTATGTTTAATTCGAGTATGTTCACTCATATCCAACGCAAACTTGACTCGACTCGTAAATTTTTCGAATTCAGTAGAATAATTTAAACTCAAATATAATTGGGTCAAGCCCAAGTCTAAATAATTATATTATTTATTTAATTATGTTTAATTTGAGTATGTTGATTCATATCCAACGCAAACTTGACTCATAAATTTTTCGAATTGAGTAGAATAATTTAAACTCAAATATAATTGGGTCAAGCGGTCAGACACAATCCTAGAGTTAATTAAAATTCATTAGATATTGAGTTCTTAGGAAGTTAAATTTAAATGGGATTGTAAATCAAATAAAATAATCATTTAATTAATAATGTAATCATCTTTGATTATTTGCGACTGGACCTCGGGCCCACAACTTTTATTCCATATATAAACAAGAACTCCCAGTCCACAACTTTCTTCATAAGCACAAATTACGACGCTGCCACTGCTCTCGTCCACCGCCGCCGGACCGCTCGCACATCCCACTTCGCCCCCCATCTCCGGCGGCTCACATCCCTATAAATTAAAGTTCTCAAGTTTAATTTACACTAATTATCACAGTTTCCTTCGTTCCTCTCTCAATTAAAAAATAAATTGGAGAAAATGTTTTTCTTGAGTGAACTAGAACACAGTCTGAGATTACCCCCTCATCTCCTGAATCAACCTCTCGACAAAGCCATTAAAGGAGAGCTTGAATCTCTCTTCTTAGATACGGTATCTATCTATTTCTTCTTCATCTTCTTCTTCTATTATTTCCATTATTTACCCGCTTACTTTTTTTTTTTACCCAAATGATGCTAGGTTATTGATAAATTAGGGTTATGCATTAGCGTGTACGATATTCGATCCATCGATGGTGGATTCATATTTCCTGGTCATGGTGCTTCCACTTATACGGTACTAAATTTTAATTGTTGTTGATTTATTAGTGCAAAAATTGGTAGCGAAAATGTTTTCAATTCTTTATTTTCAGCAAATCATTCATGAAGATATGTTTGGTATGATATTGAAATTTTGAATTACGACAGTGTAACTTTGTGTCTTCTTCAGGTGAAGTTCAGATTGGTAATGTTTCGACCGTTTCTCGGAGAAGTTATATCGGCTCGACTGAAAGAATCCACCACGTCTGGTTTACGATGTACGTCGTACAACTGCTTGGTTACTTATTTATTGGTTTATTGCTGAGTTTGTGATTATTCTCAGTGCACTCTATGATTACTCGACAAAGTTTTCTTGATTTTTGAAATTATTAAATGATGGAGAGGGAGCTCAATTAGCAAACCTGTATCTTACACTTTTTTTGTAGGATATCTTCGATTATTTCAGTGCATTCTATAATTATTTCATCTAGGATATCTTCGATTTTTATTCAAATCAATTACCTTTACTAGAATCAATAAGTTGGTTCGGGTTTTCGAGGTTTCGGGTTTCAAGGTTTCGGGTTTTCGAAAATCTTTTTTTTTTTGAGCAAACATGTTGGTTCTTATTGTACAATATATTTGTCATAACTTATGAATGATCTCTTAGCTCTTCAGTCTTTACCTTACCGAGGTCTGATAATGTATATCAGTTTGCAACTCGATTCCCATTGTTTCTTGGAGGATCAGCATTTATACATCCGATATCAGAAAATATGTTGATTCTTGAATCTGTAATCATAATTTCATGTTGACGAGACATGATTTTAGTATAGAATGTGAATGCTCTGCTTGAATCAGAACATTGTTTTTCATTTGTATTGATCAATAAGGAATATGGTTTTCGAATACTTATCTCCAAAATTAATATTATGATGTTAATTCTCGAATATATTCTCTTGCAGTGTCACTTGGATTTTTTGACGATATTTATGTATATGTCCCTTTACTACCCGCTCCCAATGACTATGCACCTGATCCATCGCGCAAGTGAGCTTCTTGCTCTCATCACATTTCAATCAATATCGTATTAATTATACCATATAGGCTGACTCATGCTTAGGTATTTTAGCATATATGCGATCTTTTCAAAACCTGTTTTTATCGTCCTTTTCAGGGATGGAGTTATATGGTCGTGGAACTACCATGCAGATCCTTTGACAATAGACTGGACAGATGAGGTTGATCTTATACTCGTTTTTTTTTAATTCATTGCGTCAACAGTTTGTTCGAACTTGTGATGTGATGCGATTAAGCAGCGTTTTTTTTATTTGATTACAGATAAGGTTCAAAGTTCATAGTGTAAATTATCATCCTATACCAGTAGAGCAAGGGGATGATGATGATCCAGAGAAAAAAGATTCGAAGCCGTTCGCCCCTATGGTGGTCATTGTAAGCCAGACATTTAATTAATTAATTTATTTTTTAATTTTGTTTTACCATTTTCTTACTGCGTGGATTTTAGATTTATTGCTCTCACGTACTTCATTATCTTGGTAAAATACATGGGTACTTTTGTACCTTTGATTCACACACAATCACACGCACATATATAAAATACATATGGGTGTAGTGTAAGACAAACCATTATCTTGTGCTGGATGGGTGTAATAAGCACTCGTATGCCATGCTTGGTTTGGTACGATATACGAAGCCCGATATTTAGTTTGATTCTTTTATTTATTTGTTTATTAAATTATTGGAAAAGCTGATAAGTAAAATCTTTGAAATGTATGGCAGGGATCTATTGATGATGATGGTTTAGGCCCTGTTTCATGGTGGTGATAATGTTGCTGTGGAAGTTTAACACACTAAACCACCATTAAGACTCTAGCTAATTGTCATTAACCAAGTTGCTAATTACGTTTTGCTTAATTACTAATTGTCTTACTTTTGCTATTTGATGGTGCCTTTTAATCTTCTGTTTCACTTGGATTTACATCAAGGATCTAAAGTCTTCAGCTATGGAACTCAAATTCTTAGTACTTTAATGATTAGTTTGTGAATTTTTTAGTTATTCTTTTGTTATTGCGATTAATTTAAAATTTATTTTTATATGAAATTATTTAAAGTTTTATTCTGAATGCTTTCTTTAAATACAAAATTTGAACTAATTGTTATCGGGCATCTTATCTTCAAAGTTATAAGCATTAAAATGCTCGCAAATCGATGTTATTAACGTATTAAAATGCTCGCAAATCAAAGTTATACGAAAATTTATTGTTATCGGAACCTGTTGAGCTATGCGGGTAAAGATGTACTATCTTAAACTTCCCTTAAGTTGTGTTTGAAATATATAATTTATTCTGAAAAATTTACTAATTGAACAATTTTACCTCAATCTTTAACTGTATTTCAATTTACTTGGGGAAAGTAAATAAAAAAAAAATAAAATAGAAAGGGGGTGGGGGGCTGATATTTTATGATAATAAAGGGGGCTGAATTTGGATAGATATTAAAATTAAATTCTAGTAAAGAATTAGAGGAGTTTACTCAATATGGCATGACGGCGTACGATATAAGATAACTAGAAAAGGAGCGGAGGCGAAAAAAAAAAATCCATGGCGGCGGCGACATCTCTAAGCACGCCGAGGATTGGCTCCTCTCCGGCCTTCCAAACCCTCCGCAACTACAAATTTCCAGTTACTTTATTCTCTCTCTCTAATTGTAAGAAAACCTTAACCTCCGGAAAGTTCTTTGGTTCCACCTCCTCTTCTCATTTGAGCCGCCGCGATTTCACCACTGCGATTCGCGCCGAGTCCACCAACGGCGCCGAGCCGACGAGGCAGTACGACTACGACCTATTCACTATCGGCGCCGGCAGTGGAGGCGTCAGAGCCTCTCGATTCGCCTCCAATTTTGGGGCTAAAGTTGCTGTTTGCGAGCTGCCTTTTGCCACTATTTCCTCCGACTCCGCCGGCGGCGTTGGCGGCACGTACGTTTTCATTTAGTCTCTTTCAATCGTAGTATTCGTATCCCCTTTCTGTTTCTTTCACAATTATGCTTGCAGTATCGAATATTTGGTTGTGATTGTTTGAGGATAACTTGCATTGTTTGCTTGATGATTGTCATGATAATTCATTATGTATCTTCAGCAGCTCTGGTTCATGTTGCTAGTTAATTTGGTGAACGAGATCTAACTTTTCCGTTTCCAAAATCATTTCACTTTTAAAGGTGAAATGTTTAAAACTTAACCATAAGATGGAATTCGGTGTTTATAATTTATTTTCTTTTTGTAATAGGTTTATTTGAGGGAGAGGTTGTGAACTTAAGAGTTCCGAGTCAAATTCTTGTAGCTGTTTAAATTGTTGAAACTATAATTTTTCTTCTGCCTATAGCTTTGAATTCTGAGAAAAACAAATACAGGGAATTATTCTGAACATCAACTCACGGATCTTGCTTCGTTCTTAGTTAAAATCTATAAGTTTTGGCAAATGAAGCCTAAGTGTGGCAGTGTAATTTGACATGCGTCATTTGAATGTCTCTCAAGGGCCATGCAGTTTATTTTTCAATTTAGATTCTTATATTGCATTTTATCTTACAGTAACATCTTGTCTGACTGTAATTGAATATGAGGAGACATCTGATAAGAAGAGCATTTTATATAGCACTGTTCAACTTAGTGAGTTCCTTGAAGTGTCTTAATACTCTCTGGTGAATGAAGGTGTGTGCTCCGTGGATGTGTACCAAAAAAGCTCCTTGTCTATGCATCGAAATTTTCGCATGACTTTGAGGAGAGTTATGGGTTTGGATGGAATTATGAAGCAGAACCTAAACATGATTGGAGCACCTTGATTGCTAATAAGAATGCCGAGTTGCGCCGCCTTACGGGGATTTACAACAATGTTCTTAAAAATGCTGGCGTCACGCTAATAGAAGGCCGGGGCAAGGTTGGTCATAACTAGATTTGAAGCATGTGCTTTATCATTTTCCTTTCTTATGCAAATATTCATGTGCTCAAAGCCCCTGAATCATCCTAACTTTCTTTGCAGATTGTGGATCCACACACAGTGGACGTGAATGGAAAGCTCTACACAGCAAAGAATATTCTCATTTCAGTTGGTGGGCGTCCTTTCATCCCTGATATGCCTGGGAGTGAATATGCAATAGATTCTGATGCTGCCCTTGATTTACCTTCAAAGCCTAACAAAATTGCTATAGTTGGAGGTGGTTACATTGCCGTTGAGTTTGCTGGCATCTTCAGTGGCTTGAAGAGTGATGTCCATGTATTCATAAGGCAGAAGAAGGTGTTGAGAGGTTTTGATGAAGAGGTTGTTACCATGAAACTATCATCCTATCAGGGTAAATAATGCTTTTTCATATTTCCTGTGTAAATGTCAGAAATTCCACTCTGATTGTGCAGGTCAGAGACTTTGTTGGAGAGCAAATGTCATTAAGGGGGATTGAGTTTCACAGCGAGGAGACACCCCAGGCTATAGTGAAGTCGTCAGATGGATTGTTTTCTTTGAAAACTAACAAAGGGACAGTTGATGGCTTTTCCCATGTCATGTTTGCAACAGGACGCAAACCGAATACCAAGGTGGTGATTTGCTTTGTTGTTAACTTTTGATTGGAGTATGTTGTCATAGTTTTTCGTGGAAATTGGAATAATGCATTGTGCCGGGAAAATCCATTTGTTAATTGTTCTCATTATCTTAGAAGATATTATTATTCATCATTTAATGCATTTTTTTATTTGGCTACAGAATTTGGGTTTAGAAGCCGCCGGGGTTAAATTATCAGCAAATGGAGCCGTACAGGTATTGCTTTCTACTTGTTGCCATTTCCCATATCCCCAGCAATCATTCACTCGTAGCCTAAAAAAAATTAATGCTATTATTTGTTCATTCTTGATTATCTACTCAGGTCGACGAGTACTCTCAGACTTCTGTTCCATCAATTTGGGCAGTTGGAGATGTTACTGATAGAATAAATTTGACCCCTGTTGCATTAATGGAAGGAGGAGCATTGGCAAAAACTCTTTTTGCAAATGAACCAACAAAACCAGATTACAGGTGCGGTGAATCTATGATGGGTTCAAAATGTAAATCATTTTGGATAAGCGAGATGGACAATGCTATTAACTTATTGCCGACACAGAAGCTCTTCTATGTTTGAGTTGCAGAAACATTTTTGATGATTTTTTTTTCTTTTTTGGTTTTTTTTCTGAGCACACTTCTGTCTTATGCAGTGCTGTACCATCTGCAGTGTTTTCTCAGCCACCTATCGGTCAAGTTGGTCTTACTGAAGAGCAGGTAAGAATAAAGATTTGCGTAGTAGTGGGAGTTTAGTAAATTGCTTTGCCTAATAAACCAAATTCCACAGGCAATTGAGGAGTATGCTGATATTGATGTTTATACATCAAACTTCAGGCCTCTAAAGGCAACTCTTTCAGGCCTGCCTGATCGGGTTTTCATGAAAGTTATTGTATGTGCAAAGACAAGCAAAGTTGTGGGTCTACATATGTGTGGAGAAGATTCAGCAGAAATCGTGCAGGTTGCCTTTTCCACTTGGCTGTCATTTTGGATTTCTTTTTTTTTTCTTTTTCTATATATGTCTGTTATATAGTATCCCATCCTTAAACGTGGAATTTTTCAGGGATTTGCAATTGCAGTGAAAGCTGGCCTGACAAAGGCAGATTTTGATGCCACCGTGGGTGTCCACCCTACAGCAGCAGAGGAGTTTGTCACCATGAGGACACCTACACGGAAGGTCCGAAGTACTCCCTCTGAGGTAAGACCATTTTCTCAACTTTTAGATATATCTTACAAATTGTGTTTCCCCGTAACCTAAGCTTATCTACTTAACTAATGTCATTCAATTTTTGAATCATTGAACTCAAGTGAATGTAACAAGAGCCAGTTAATATGCGATAATGGCTGAATGTTTGCTCTTTCATGACTTTTGTTAAACATTTCCCCATTCCACTTAACCTGCTGAAAAACTGGTTGCAACTTACAACGTATCATTTTTTCTCGAATTGTCAATCACAGCTTTTTTTTTAAACCGGTGAATCACGCCTCAATTTCCTTTTTATTGTGCCCTTTCATATCTACTCAGGGAAAATCAGATTCTGATACCAAAGCTACTGCTACTGCTGTTTGATATTGAGGATTAGAGCAATCAGATATCGATGCATGAAAGGAAGTGCATTTGGGTAAGACACACAACAATTGACGTGTTCATTTTCTTGGCAATTTCTGATGGATACAAACTTGCATAGTTCTCTTTCTTTCCGTCTTGTTCTTTTCTTGTATGTTTTCATTTCAAGTTAGATAATGTGATGATTCAGGGCATCGAGTATATTACGGGCCATTGTAGCGTTTGATTTTACTACTTAGCCATAGTAATTTTAGTATCTTTTTATTTATGCACCAGAATTTTGCCCAACTTCCAGCTACGTCACTCTCCAAATAATTTCAATTGAGGCTAACTTGAAACTCTGTGACATTTTTAGATATGCTTCAAGACTAGTTCAATTCCAGGGGCAGTTTTTGTAGCAGTTGGTTCGAATTTGTTTGCCATTGATGAAGAGCGTAGATGGATGTGACCGACCGTCAACAGATGAGTTCTAATGAATCGGGACATGGTATTATTATAATTATTTACTTTTTAAGTTTCTATATATTTTAGAAGTGGATTACTTCATGGTATGTGCAACTATTACTTGTCACGATTTACAATCAGGTGATACAACACATTTGTACAGGTTTTGAGTTTCTAGTTATCAACGAATATTATCGTTTTCGGAAATTTTACCAGGTTTTTGTTTGACATTATTTTGTGTTTTAATATATTTTATTCAAAATGCGATTGGCTTCTTCAATACAAACTAACATGTCTGTAAACTTACAAACTATACACTCAATATGAATATTTACAACATACTCAAAAAGAGATAGAAATAACTCGAAATCTATTTTCTTCTGTCCAAAATGGTATCACTATTCTCTTTTAAAATCCGTAACGAAAACTAGCAATGTGGGCGTGTATTTACAGACTTTAGCATGCGTCCACTACCTAAACATGTTAAACAACGAGCAAGAAAACACCAAGACGAACGGAATGGATCACTGAGGTAAATAATCAACTGCTAATACATTATTAATAATCATTTAATCCATGACCTAAAATAAGTTTTAAATTAGATCTCAAAACATGTATACATAAGTCCATTAGGTTCACTCTATCTAACTTCTTATCACAAGAATGAAGGAGAAAAAAAAAAAAAAATCTCCCAAATGTGATTAAAAGGCAAAGAAAAGAGAAAGAAATCATCCAATGAGATTTAGGAGTCAAATAATAATTCTATTAACCCAATCCAAGATTAAAAGGAAAAAACATTATATAATTGCAAATAGGAAATCTGATTATTAAAGGAAAATAATTTCTTCCTCAACAACAATACAGGAAAGTACACAAAAACCCATGATAATTAGTGTCATTTAACAGCGATTAGGAAAAGGAAAAAATAAATTAAGACAGTCATTAAGTGGCGCCAGCCGTAAAAAAAAAAAAAAAAAACCGGGGGAGATTTTTTTCCTATTAGGTCAACATACGGCACGTGCCAGTAGAGAAAATATCCGCGCCTCCAATCAAAACGCTCCTCCCCACAAATTTATATTTTTCGAAACACCGAGGCGCCAATTTTGGTCACTTCTCCCGCCCCATTCCCCCACCGCCCTTTATTTCCTCCCACCATTTCCACCATTTTACCAAACCCTCTTCTACCTTTCCTTCTTTACTCCCCCTAACTTAGTGTGAGCGAGTTTCACCTACGCGCCGCTAGATGCAGGGCCACCTACCCCACCCCGCCACCCCCATTTCCGACGCCGCTTTCCTCATCAAACGAGGCAAGAAGCGTGGGAGCTACAACTGCGGCCGCTGCGGCGTGCCGAAGAAGGGCCACAAGTGCCCTCTAACCCCCGAAAACGACGATGGATCTACTCCCGTTTCTACGCCTTCATCCGCCGCAGTCACCTCATCTATCGCCGCCACGCTCAGCTCCGCTTCGGCGGCGTCGGCGTCGGTGAAGATGGTGACCACTCCGGTGGTTCGTCCTACGCCGCCGCCGAGTCGACGGCGAGCTCTTTCGTTCGATGACGTCGGCGTGGCTGATTCGATCGATGAGTTGGATGATGAGGAGCCGTTTGAGTTTGAGGAGGACCCCGATCTGTATAGGTCGGGGAAGCTTCCGGCGAGTTGTTTATGGGAGGTTTTGAAGAGATTGCCGCCGGTGGGGCTGCTGTCGGCGGCGAAGGTGTGTAGGGGGTGGAGGGAGACGACGAGGAAGCTCTGGCGTGCGTCCGAGGAGCTCCGGCTCAGGGTTCCGGCGAAGGCCCAGATCGGATTCGTCGGATCCGTGTTGCAGAAATGCCCTGGACTTTTAACCCTATCTCTTAGAATTGAAAGGTTAGGGTTTTGACGAACTGATGATAGATCTAAGCTTTCTTCGTGTGGATCGGATAATTCCTCATGCATACAAATTTAAAAAAATAAAAAATCACTGTTTTATAGAAGAAATTATAACTAATTCAACAGAATCCAAAGATTGAGCTGAGCCTTGAATGCTAAATTGAACCGGACGATTTAATTATACCCGAAAGAGAATTGGAAGAATTTACTGATGAAATGTTGGATCTTAAGATTTTGGGTTTTTTTGCATTTTGAAAAGAATCACTTCTTAATAATGATTAATGCTGATTTAACTATTTTTGGCATGAAATCTTGTGTGTTTTGATCTAATTATATGTGTCTTTGCCTTTTCGATTTGCAGTGATGTCGATGCAACAATGCTGGCCTGCATTGCCTTCTCTTGCCCTAATTTGCAGTCCTTGGAGATCTTTACATCCGATTCTTGCATCAACCGGATCACAGGGTAATTAATCCGACTTTTCGATACAGATCTACTTTTTTTGTTTTATTTTCTTTAATTAGTTCGTATACGGCCTATCGACATTCTCGACATTTTTTCAGCTGGTTGTAATATATAATTATGTATAATAGAATAAATGATACATGCTTAGCTTTCCAGATATATTTGCTATGTTATTTAACAAATTTTTCAACACTTCACTCTGAAATCATATGTGATTTATTTATTGCTTCACTGGCTTAGTTTTGTGTCGAAATCCTAGGTATGTATGATGCGGTTTTATCGAAAGTCTATGTATGTTATAACTTCTACATGTCGACTTATTTACGCAGCTAATTGTATAGATCGAGTCTTTCTTTTGAAGTAAACATAATTCCGACATATGAATTCATTCAGGGATGAGTTGAGTCGTTTTATTGCCGAGAAAAGGTGCCTAACCAGTCTCAAGATGGAAGGGTGCTGTAATCTCGGGGGTTTTATATTCTCTTCGACTAGTCTCTCTACTCTTTGGCTCTCAGATCTCCACTCCCTCTCTAAAACGGTAACTGCTTTCCCGATTCACTCTGTTCTCTTCTTCATAACCACTAGTACCGTTTTTCTGAGCTCGGCTTCTATTATTGATTTTCAGGTTTTCAACTGCCCTAATTTAAAGGAGGTTTCGTTGGACTTTTCTCGCCAAGAAAATGACAGCACCGATCTTACCACTGTTGTGGAATCTCTCGGAAGAAGCTGCCCTAAGCTTCAGAATATCCACATTGCTTCGGTTTTGCTCTCACACGATGCTGTGCTGGCACTCTCGGCCGCTAATTTAAGGTTGTTATTTATTCATTTCTGACAGGGTTTAATATTGTCCACAAAATGCTTCCGTTTTGGATAACCTCAATAATTTGTGTCTTCTTCCATTTTTAGGGCATTGCGTATGCTTTCACTTGTTCTGGGATTGGAGATAACCGATGCATCTGTGGCAGCTATTGCTTCGAGTTTTCCAAAGCTTGAATTGCTTGATCTTAGTGGGTATGTTTCTTCCGAAAACGTTAAGTTCTTATAGAAGAATATATTTTTGTGGGCCATAGTTGATAAGTGAAGAATGTTCGTTGATTTATTGTAGGTCTAGCATCAGTGACAGTGGCATTGGAATGATATGCAATGTCTTCCCCGAGACATTATCGAAACTTCTACTTGCTCTTTGCCCTAACATTACATCGAGTAAGTTTTTCATGTCCTTTTTAATATGACCATTAACTTTATAGTCCACTACACTTTTCATCATTCTTATTGAACTTTTCGTATATGCATTTGTTTGTATAGGTGGCATTCAATTTGCTGCTGCTCAGCTTCCACGCCTGGAACTTATGGACTGTGGAATGACAATTTGTGATGCCGATTCTGAAAAATTCGAGGACAACGACTCTGAATTACAGAGAACACCAAATAGCAAGATGCACCTTATTTACCAAAAGTTAATTATCAAGCATAGCCGCTTGAAGAAGCTAAGCTTATGGGGTTGCTCTGGCTTGGATGTAAGATTTGTTCGAGACTTCTTTCTTTCTTATTCGAAATTGTGTTTGTGTTTTACGGCCTTTAAATCAGATATTCAAATTTTCCAGGCATTATATTTGAACTGTCCTCATCTTCATGACTTGAACCATTCACTCTGCAGAAATTTGCA